CGGGTCGGCTCGTTTCTTTCCTCGTGTCACCCGACACCTTTTTCGTCGACACCCGCTCCCTGGATCGGTTAACACGACATTGAAAAAAGAAATTCGATCTGAAGTGACAGAAGCTGGAGCACCTTTCGTCGAAGCGGGAAAGTACCAACGACGGACCCGTAGTTTCAGTGTTAAAAGAATCGCGTGGAGACTCGAAGTTGCTCGCCGCTCTGGCCCGGATCGGACGACACGCTTTTCATTCGTTATGACTCGTTATAGTCGTTAGAACTCTTGTTCTCGAAAGATAAATGAAATCCGAAGACGAACAGCACGAAGCCCATTATTTGCTCCTTCTTTTCCGGTTGTGTAAATATCGCTACTTAACGATGAAAGTCACGGTAGAAGAAAAAGTGAGGTCTGCTGGGCGGGCTGCCACTTAAGAAAACGATGGAGAAAGCCACCGACGAAGGAGGAAGCGTATGCAACTCGGTCGGGTCGATGAGGACTGATAGCAGTCATCGAGAGCCGCCGCCGGCGGTTGGCTTTTCCGAGAACGGCGGGCGATTCGGGGAGTTCAGGTTGTCAGGCGTCCGAACCTTCTCGTGTGTTTGTGGGGGGTAGGTGGTGGGGGGGAGTTGCTCCCTTTTTTGTTCTCGTCCGTGAGGGCGTCTAATGATCTAACCTCGTTTTTTTTAAGAGTCAGTCACGGCGCGGGGAAGAGACTGCATCGTTACCAGACGCCTTCCACGCATTCGCCACCCGACGAGCAAAGGAATCTTTCGACAGCTTTCGGGTCTTGCGTGAAGTTTACCCAACTTTAATTTTCTCCCTTGTTCTGCTGCTACCGTTGAAAAAGATCTGCCACGCTCCGCGTTATCGATTTCCTTAATGATGTTAACTGGATGAAGTTCCCCCTCGTTAGCTTCCTTTCGAGCGGAGTCCTGACGTTCTTGGGCGTCTTTCATGTGAAAGTCTTCCTACCTTTTTTTAAATATAATTTTCGTAGCCCGCCTCTCCATTCTCTCGAGCGCAATTGGATGACTTCTATTTGCAGACGTCCTGAATTGAACTCGATCCTTTTAATGAAGCCTCATTTGTGCTGCGTACAACGGAATCTGAGGGATTGCGTAATTAGTGCAATCCTAACTGTAAGAGTATGAAATGGGCTACACCTTCCCGTTTTTAGTCTTCATTCACCATTAAAACTGAGATTTTTTAAGTTTCAAACCTGTGCAGACCTATCTGGGACACCCTACGACAGTGGTTCCCAAACTGTGAGTCGCAAGAGGCATCGAGGTGGGTCCCCAGTTTAAAATCCCAACTGGAATATTCCAGCTGGACCAAATCTGTAAATTCGGACCATTTCCAGTTGGCAAAGAGCTGGAAAGTAGTAGGTACCAGTTGTTTTGTCCGAATTTACAGCTGGAGTCCAGCTGGAAATTATAGCTGTATCCAGCCGGGATTTTAAACTGGGTCGGTACATTTTCCCAGTATAAAAAGTCATTATATCCCCCATCCGCTCAGGATAAAACATTCCCCTGCAGAAAAGGTCGATCAGTACTTTAAGTACTTTAAAAGTACCTCGTTCTGGATTTCGGTGGGTCGCGATTCAAAGAAGTCTGGGAACCGCTGCCCTACGATATGAATGGAACGTGGTGATAAAAGAAACGTTAAGTGACCCCCACACTTGACCCCAACGGATACGGAACATTTGAATCCGCAGTGACTAATCTCTAATTCCCTGACCACGTCAACACCCGAGATTAGAGACGAAACCTCCTCACCCTTGATCTTAACGGAGCCGAACTCCGGAACCCCCAAGTCGACGCCTGAACCTCCCTCCACTCGAGTGACGTCACACCCTCCAACACCACACCCCCCCCCCCCCCCCCCCCCCCCCCCCCCCCCCCCCCCCCCCCCCCCCCCCCCCCCCCCCCCCCCCCCCCCCCCCCCCCCCCCGTCCAGACTATCTGGTCTGCCTTCCCGGAAACCCACCACCGTCCTCCAGCGATTGCCCCAGCTGGAATGCATCCCTTTCGGGGGAAAGACATCAGGACGAGGGAAGAGTCGCTTGCTGACACGGGTCGCATAACAAGACGAGATTCCAGGAACTCATTATTCGCCCACGTTTCGGAAGGCTTTCAGGCACCCTAATTGCATTCGATTTTCTTACAGACGATGCTCGACGTACATGCTTTGACATCTCCGTATATTGAAACCGTGACTGCGCCGTTTAACCTTTCATCGATTGCAAAACGATCTGCGAAGTTTCTGCCGATACCGTCGCCATTTTGTTTTCCGTTTGCGGTCGAGTAGCTTTGGGGTGAAATTTTATTCCGTTGGGCCACGAATGTCCATTTCGAAGGTCAAGGGCAGTGAGCTTTTCGCTGCCGTTTCGGAATGAATCGACTCCCTCTTGAAATTCAATTCTTCGTAAAAACGTTCGCTGGTGCCTTTGAGAAGCGTAATTCATCATCGGTTGACAAATGGGCTCGAAAAGTTATGCGATTCGAGCTCGAGGCTTGAAAGATCCTGCGTCTCGCCTTCGTGGAAATTATGAGGAAAGCGGCTCAAAGTAACAGATTTATTACGACTGTGTTCATACGTGGGAGGAAAAGCCGCCGTATCGTTCATCATAAGTCATTGCATAAATTTGTTTCAAGGGAAAAATTTTTTGACACTTTTTGCCCTAAAAGAGATCCTAATTTTGTCCTAAGGAGATGCACTCAATATTTGGGCCGAATTTCTTTCGACTCTTCTGGATTTATTCGTAACGAAAAGCATAATTGTGACATTTCTTCGTCGTGCTTCGACGGTCTCTCGCCCCCGACTTGGCACTGCGAAACGATCAAAATATTTATAGCAGTTGGCATTGTCACAACGACTCACCATAACTTAAAAGCTAATTGGAGTCGAACTCTGGGATCTCGAAGAATCGGATTGAAGAGCTGAGTTGTACCGAAGTCAAGGTCAGCATCGAATGGACTTGAGCCGTTTCGCAACGGACTCGATCAAATCCAGAGAATCCACGAGTTTGTTGCCTTGTTATCTCTAAATGACGAAAGGGTAGAGAGAAGAAATATTTATTTATTTATTTATTTATTTACGGGAAATATGTTCCACGACGGGGATTTCTAGCATTTCATGCTGTAACTACTAAAATATGCCGAGTAGAAGAAACGCCATTCGATTCTCCTCGTCGATATATTTCCCCACACTAGCGGAGCATGAAAACGGTCAAAAGGAAAATGACATGCTATAGCATGAAAATCCGCTCCCTGTATATAACCATCCAATGTCACGCATATTATGGGCTGCTGAACCATGAAAACTTTCACTTCTTTCTCTTCAATCCGGTTGTCTCCGTGAAATTACTTTGGAAATTTATATCATTTCCTTACACCACCGAACCTATTAACAGACCTCGATTGACGCTTTAAAAAAAAGTACGACCCGATCCAGCCCCCCCCCCCCCCCGTCTCTTCGCGGCCACTTCTTCGCGAGGAACCGAAAGAAGCAGCGCACTTCCCATGCTCCTCGTCGGCTTCTCGTGTTCCCACTGGCCGGCTGCCAGCAGAAACGAGCAGCCAACCGATCTTGCACAACGCCCTTCACGAGGGCGGCAGGAAACGTCGGAAGGGGTCTCGGTTCTCCGCTCCTTCCTCCGCCCCCCCCCTTCCACCTCCTCTCCCCTTTTCCCCATTTCTCAACCGGTGACTTGCAAGATTCGATCGCACGCATCTCGCCCGCGATGCANCCCCCCCCCCCCCCCCCCCCCCCCCCCCCCCCCCTCCCAGCTTTCACCTCGTGAATGCATCGCGGGCGAGATGCGTGCGATCGAATCTTGCAAGTCACCGGTTGAGAAATGGGGAAAAGCAGTCTGGTTAATGATCCCGCTTCCCCCGGTCATTATCGTCTCACGTGTGAGCCAAGCCGAGACGATTAAGATTATCATGGCCTCCAGGAGCAAAAAAAAAAAAAAACAAGGGAAGCACCGCGAAAATAGTTCCGTGAGAAGGGCTAAAGGTTTCTCCCCTGCAATTACAGCAGAGACCCATAGCCCCCAGGTCCACGAGGGAAATTAGGGCACTAAAGTAGATCTACTCTTCCCGCACAGAGAATGACCCAACCGAGAATAAATGTCTCTTCTCGCGCCACCTGGGGATCTGCAGGCCTCCCATTTTCAATCATTTAATTTTAAGTTTGCCCTTACGACCCCATTCAAAGCGAAACCCACAATTCCGAAGTTGATGGACTTCGAGACCCCTCGAAATTTTTTGCTCGCTTGACCCTGCCTGTGATCGATTTCGACGGATGAACCGGTTCCCTCCGGATGCGCCGGGCATAAATAAAGGACCAATATCGTCACCGACGAGATAAGGAAGAGGATCGATGACGATAAGTCCACGCTTTTCTCCTGCTTTGTTTTATTCATATCCCCGACTGGTGGAATGGTCTCTCGCATTCATAAACATGGCATTGTCCGGGAGAGATATCATCTGGATTCCAGTCAGTCGGGGACTTAAAGGCCGAGATTAAATCCCTTGCTTCGTCCTGCTTTATTCCCTTCGTCTCTCCTCTGGGTATCGATGCCTGGGTTAGACAAGCTCGAGTCTAAGCCTTGCATCCATTAATGGCCGGTTCGGTAGGGGCGCTCCAACCCATGAAAGATTTTACGAGTCCGAACCGGATCCTCGTCTGCGGGGAGACTTCCGCGGGGTGATGCCGGAAAGAGTAAGAAGAACCGAATTGCATTACGCTCGGTGACTTCTACACCGTCGTAATCGACAGATCGCGGTGATGAATGCGAGACCTGCGGTGATGGGTACATCTCTGCGGTTAATTGGTCACGGAATTGATGGAACTGCCTTTCCCCCTTCGGTTCGGCGATGAATCAAAACTGATCCCTGCGAAGACGAATGCCGGGGGGATCCATAAGCCGTCGTTCCGAAGCTCAGCTCGTCGATAATAATTGTTTTCTTTCCCCCTTTCATTTTCCCCATTTTACTTCTTATCCTTGACCTCGGGGCTTCCGTCGAGGAGCGAGAGGCACAGCACCGCGCATGTCGAAGATGCTCACCCGGGAGTGCGAGAGCGAGGCAGAGGGAGCCGCTCAGTCAGGCGCTGGCTGTCGCTGGTGAAGCGTCTGCTCCAACGCGAGGTTTTTTTTTCCGTGGACCGTCTTGCAGGCTTTTCTCGCGACTTGCGAGGATGAAAAATGCCAGTGTATAGATGACCGTCGCGGAAATCTCGTTCCCGTAAATTCGACGATGTGACTTGGGAATTCAGGAAAAGTCATGAGTTCACCGAAGAAAAGTGCCCTCGTCACAGAACTGGATTCTCTGGAGTGTCGGGTCCTCCTCGTTGGAGATGCCCAATGTGGAAAGTCTGCTCTCATCCAGCGATTCGTTTCCGACAAGTTCTTAGAGGTGAGTTGTGCAGCCATTTCACTCGATAATTTACATGGGCTTGGCATATAATTTTTGGACGTAAATCGTAGCCTAGGCGTGCTTTGCACACACACACAAATGATCGACCGAGCATTAGCGTTAATGCATTGTCCACCCTGGGCGTTGGACTTCGACTGGGCAGGTGGTCCGGACCAGCAACACAAAATGTGTCGAGTTATCCGAGGAAGATACCCTTGTAGTCCCGAATTAAGCATAAATTATTGTTATTTTTTTAATTTTCCTCATTTCACCGCCCACAATGAAACGTCATAGACCGCAGAAAAAAATAAGTCCCACCAAGCCTCAAGGTCGGGCATTCCTTTGTAGCCCCGCGAAATATATGAGAAAATATACGAGCGGAACTCTTTTGAGTCCCGGCAGGATTGAAAGGATTAAAGAGAACCCTAACACAAAGAGAGATTCAGAATGTCAGTGAATTATTAAATGTACTCCATAAAACGGAGACGGGAAGAGATGCAGGATAACACGATCCTGGAGAGATATGGCCGTGCTGTTTGCTCCACACCTCCATTCCTCGCGATAGCCCCTTAACAGCTGCTGCCAAACTATTCTCTCCTCCATATAGTTAATCAGAATCAGCCTGGGAAAAAAAAAATGGTTTCCCCACGGAAAGCTATTCCCGACTGTGCCACTTCTAGTGCTATAATTGACTTAATTTGATTATCTGAAACGAACCCAAACTATGCTTTCGAGGAATTATCTGGAACAAGCCAAAACTCTTAGTGTTTTCTAGCGCAGTAATTTTTCACATCATCCGAGGAGGCGCTTCGTCGATTCTATTACTTGCATTCAATCGCTCATTCCATGATTTTACCACAATTCATGTTGAGTTATCTTTCATGCTAACCATCTGAATTGAGCTTATCGCCCAGACAGACATGATAAGAACACCATCAGCCTTCCTGTTTGTTATGGCTGCGTTCGCTTTCTGCATGCCGAAGCAACATTGCCCTGGGAAAACAGGCGGGTCCTGCACCTGCTAACGAATACCAGAGGAAAATCGCACTTGTCTATTTAGACGCGAAGAGCAGCTGAAGATAGTTATCGGGAGCTGTTTTGTCAAAGCAGTCTCATATTCCTTCGGTCACACCCTATTTGTTTTCTTCGAGGACCCCCTTTTGTGACCGCAAACGACAAGGATCTACCATGAACGAAGGCAGGCCGAGCTTTTTCTCACGCCCCCCTCATTGTGCGGATAGGATCATCCAGTTCAGTGGTTTCTTTTCATGCTCCGACCGGTCGGGCCCAGAACTCGTTTTCCCTCCTCGCATATCTTTCCTTTTTCGGAATCTTTTCGTGAGGGGAAGAATGAAATTGGACGCCAGGGAATGTAACAGGGGCGTCGGCCTTGATAGTTCCCCGCAATGCCAAGCGTATGATAATTTTTTTTATCCGCTTGTGGGGGGCCCGGAATGTGTCATTCCATGGCTCGTCGTGTCTGACCGTCCCGCCGGAATTTTTTTTTTGTTCTTTACTCGTGACTTTCTCTCGTAAAGCTCGAATAGAAACGCGGTCTTATCTGGACAGCTAGAAATTCCATCATCATCTTCATCGGCTTCGTCTTCCCTTTCACTTTCATCGTATCTGAAGGGCATTTCCTCGTTGTCATTGACTCTACTTGGCCGAGTCTGTTTTTGGGTGTGGCTCGAAAGGATCCTTTGATGAGATGATAGGATCGTTCGGGTCGGCATCATTGAATAAAGGGAAGGTCGAGTCTTTCCGTGGGCAAGGATTTTTTTTTTCTCTGCCAGCTCCATGGGTGTTAAGGAATTTTTTAACGGGCCCACGTGGCTACGTGTGCCTGGTGGGAATGTCTCAGCAGTTTTCTTTATTAAATTCTCCCTTTGTCATCGCTGAAAAAGCGCAGTTCTCGACCGCGACCCTTTGTGTATCGGTTACCCTATTCCCGTCAAGAAGTGTGAATCAGGAGACGCATCCGTTCCCCGGGAAGTGCCGGAAGCCGGATGACTCAATCCCTTGTCATCGTGTCCTTGCATACATGCATACTGTTCGACATCTTCACGCCCTCTCCTTTCCTGTCCTCTTTCCACGACGGAAAACTTCTGTCGTCCTTGATGCCCGCAAAAGAAAACGATTCTCGACGGTGCAAGGGGTTTCGTGTTTCTCCTATTTTTTCTTCCTACGAAGCGGAAAACAAGCACGATTACTCTCGCTGCTTCTCCAGTTTCACAGCATAGGGCATCCGGTGAGGAATGAAGTCTACGCTGAAATTAATCCAGGAGCAAAGCCAGAGAAGGAAGTCGAAATGGGAAAGTTTGTTGTTGCTCTCCCCAATGATGATAGGTAGTTTATTGAGTACGCATGGCATTGAGCCTAAGCCCTGCTCATAAATTTTGAGTTGTAAGGAGCTTATGAATCCATAATAGGATTGCATGCAGTTTCTGATAACATGTCATTTTCATTGATCATCTTTGTCAGACTCGTGCTTGGATTCTTCCATTGCGGTCGCAAGCGTTGCTTTTCTATGGTGACTATTTTCTCACATCGGCATCTTTCGAGCGGAAAGAGTTTCAGTATGAAGTACTTCATTCCATTATGGACTTTATTACGTTAGTTCCTTTATTACGTTAAGTACTTCATTATATTACGATGTGGATAATCAGGATTAGGGTGAACCCTTCAGCCATTTGGCCAATGTCGGAAATGAACCCGAAGGCCCAAGGTCGTGATCACCCTCGGAACACCAATCCAAACGTTTTTAGAGGGCCGTTCGGTCACAAGTCCGAAGGAAAGGCCCAAGGAACTTGCAAAGGAAAAGCGTAAGCCCATTGTTTAGTCAGGTTATTCAACCGAAAACAATGACAGGGGCATGGAAGAAAGATGCGGAAATTGGGCTTCTTGAGCAACTCCCCTGGATTTGCATCGGAGCTGAAAAATTGGACCAGACGAATTTCGGGGAATGATGGCGCTGTGTTTATGACGTCAGCAGCAGCTCTGCACAGCTGACGGAATGAACTACCCAACAACATTTAGGTAAAGGATCCGGAAAACCCACCAAACTGTAGCTCTCGTGATCTTGACGGAACAAAAGGGATTCCATGTTTGGAGGAAGAATGAATACTCAGGGGGATTTTGGCTGGAGGACTGCCGTGACTGAAGGCAACGAAAGGCAACAAAGGATACGACGAAGAATATGAATAAAAATGGAAAGCATGACCACAGCATCGAGGCTGTCGGTGACTGCAGTATTAGTCACGAGAATGATCCAATCTTTCGACAACGATGACCTGAATACGTCCGTGGTCGGGTACCTAATTCCTCTTCGGTTGCTCTTGTCTTTCCCATTATTGCGCGGATGTGCACTGTTGTCTCGTAGTTGTGCGTGTCTGAGACGTTTCATTTGTGACATAGTGCTTTATCGTTATCGCTCGGTTTTGGCCATCGGGACGCTATAGTACGTCGTGATGTCATCCTCTTCAGTTTCTTCCTACCTACGTTCATTCAATCTCCTCAATGGACAGTAGAGAACATTCCGAGGATGACAGCATGGCTGTTATCGTGATCGTTTCCAAGAGAGCCAATCGGGTATTTTTGGAGCACAGTCCCCCCAGATCTCGCTGACGTACTCTACCTCGTATCTCGTCTGATCCCACTTGGGTTTCCACTTGGGTCTTAGGTTACCGATACCTGTGCCGCGAAGCATGTGGTGAAGTTTCCTATGACATCACCAGCATGACTGCGCGCGCGAGCTACAAAATTTTTGGGGCAAGGTATCTGAGAGAATGAACGCAATCGTGCAGTATTTCTGCATTTAAAGAAGTCGGTCAAGCCGTTTTGTGCGATAGGATGCACGAATTGCTTTGTGAAGAGTGGTGGAACGAGATCGTTTCCGGTAGGCTTACTTTAACGTTATGCTCGGCTTTAAACCTTACTTATAGACCTCTTAGCTTGCCCATCTTTCCTTTGATTGGCACTATTCCCGTATCTAATGTCAATGCGCTGATTTCCAATGCATGACCTGCTGTAACCAACTATCTAAGCTCCAATAGCATCATAGTTCGATGGTGAGAATGTGGACTCGGGGCCTCTATCAATCCTGATTCCTTCACATTTGCAACATACCGCTTGCTATGAACGGAGTTCAATTCAAACGAGAGGAATGCACACGAATCCAGGCTCTTCGCTAGTTATTTTCACCCCCAAATTCACCAAATGCATGTCATGCGAGCGCCTCGTGCTGTCTGACATTGTGACATCACTGTTGCTCACCCATCGGGAAGGCTAGGTTTCGAGGAACTCGGCGCGCTACAGTTCGTTGCCGCTAAGGAAGAGCTATTAAGAGCTGTTGTCGATTGTCATCGAACGGAACAGAGCAAAAGTCACGTTTGACATTCATTATCAATCAGCGTTTTAAAAAAAGTACGTCTTCTCGTTGCATGCGTACACATGTGCCATTAATCATCAGTAAGGAAAGTTAGAGAGAGACGGCGGGAGGGTTTCGAGGAACATCGCCAGTCCTCATCTTGTGCCGAAAAACGGAAAATGGTTGGAAGTTTTCGGCCGTATCCAATATGGAAGGAGGTCATCGGAATAACGGGACTCGCGCGACTTTTTGTGCCGGGAACCGTGGTTGTTTTCAACGGTCGAATGGAGGGAAATGGAAATGCAGGGCACTTTTTTCTCCAATTCATTCACCGGATCCAAAAAATATCCAGGAAGTGAATATTTGAAACCGATCGTGGAATCTTTTTTTGTTGGAATCCACTGGGGCATGAGGAGATTAGATGCGCTAATATGCTCACTTCCCATTCAAATCGCGCAACCGAAATACATTTTTTTCGGGAACTAGACCAGAAAGTGTGAAAAATGAAAAATAAAGAGCAAGGACCTCTCGAGCGTGGCACCATCAGTGCGCTTCCTGTCCTGGAATAAATCCGTAATTAGACTAGTGATTACGATTCATCTCTCCGGGACCGTATTCATGCAATGGAAATGAGATCGAGATGTATCGATCGGGCTAGAAGCCTCGTCTCTAAAGAACAGAAGGGCGAATCCCTCGTGTCTAACTCTTTTCCCCTTTCCGAAATAAATATTTTGCCTCTAGGAGAGAGTCGATGATGGAACCCCATGTGTTCCACACTCCATTCGAGAGCATGCATGATTACAAATAAGATACATTTGTTCGAATGAGAGTAGTAAAAATGCACTCCGCCCAGCTCGTGACAAGCAGATCGATGTGTTTATCCAAGTCCAATGCATATCGGTGTTTCGATCGGGAATTGACTGCTGCAAAGAGCACTGCGCGCTCCGATTTACATAATCCTTGAGCTCGGAGAAAAGCCATCTGTCCAAGGACGAATCCTTTCACGGGTTCCTGAACTCTCAATCTTACAGTTATTATCATGCAAAGAAGCTCTGTCGTGTCCATGTAAATACAGCCACATGTTGAGCATTGCCGTCATTTCGTGCCTGGTGAAACGGAATAGAAAGGGAAAAGCACGGGAGGAGGCCTTTTTTTCGGCCTTTCTCGAATTCAAGGCACGAGGAGGGTGCAGCAAATGAGATGGAGAGGAGGCAAGGGGAACGAAGAGTGAGGGGAGAAGAGGAACAGGTCACATGGGTTGGAATCTCGAACAAAGACTCAATTAGCTTCCCGACCAAATTTTAAAGTGGGTCATCGTTCAACAACATACTTGAAATAGCGAGACAGAAAAATATTTTTCCTTTTCCATCTACGCTATGCATGTTGGGAGGGAAAAAAAAGAAGATATTACTCACCAGAATGATGGTCTGGGATCACGAATATCGTGCGGTGCTTTCATCTGATGCTCCTACACTTGTTACGTTTCTGGTTTCATGTGTGATTCGATTTGGATAGGTGAACCGAGGAGCATAAAACATTTATAATGGCCTCTTGCATTTGAAGAAACGCTGACACTCACACGGTACATGGAAAAATTCAGTGGGGTCAACGACATGCAAAAACAAATGCCGCAAAGGGTGTAGTTCTGTACTTGGATGTTATCTTTATGGTTTTTGTTTCCAGGTGTACGCGCCGACGAGCTTCGACAAATACAGCACGAGCCACGAATGGAGCGGTCAGATGGTCAACTTCCTCGTTTGGGATACGTCAGGTCAGTCGGATATAAATTTCGTTCACGTTCTCTTCCATGAATTCCTTCCACGTGTCTTGTGTGCTCGAGGGAGAGAATGAGAAATGAGGCTTCATAATGTATTTAACGGAGCAGCACTTGAAGTGCCACTTGGTAAAACCGCGTCAACGCGTACAACAATTTCCATCAGTCACTTTTATGTCACTTAGGGGAGAGTTGGAAAAACTGGATTTCCATCCATCATCTCTCTATCTCGCTCCCGGCTTTTTTCGACTTCAAATAATTCATGTTTTTCTTTCGATTCGTTACGCATGGTTCCCGCTGTAGATGATACGAAACACCGAAGCAGAGGGAGTGTAAGAAGCATCGACATTCAGAATTCAGGATTTACTAATTCTGTGGTTGTCAGGAATGTATACTGCCAATATTTGGTCGAAATCGGTTTGTATAGCCTGCAAAGCATTTGAAGCCATGCCATGGAAACGTGGGAAACCTTGCAGGAAGAGAATGAGTCCCTTTCCCGTTGTCTGTCGTCTGCAGATGGACCCGCACGTGTCATCTTTATAAATAAATATTCGAGAGGCCTGGGAGGAAGGAGGATGAGAAATCGATGACGGAATGAAGTCTGCACGTGGAGTGTTCTCTCTCTTATATTCCTTTTGCCTCTAGGGCGAGGACACACATAAGGGATGGCCTCCTCGATAGAAGCAGGAGCAGGAGATCGAGAACAGTGCAAACGCAATTAGGATCGCTCGTGCAACAACATGATGAAAGTCTCGGCCTCCTCTTTCCCTCTTTCTCCTTCCTTTGATAATTTGTTTCCCCCTCATTCTCGCCATGAGGTGATTATCCCCTGCTCGCCTGCGTCTTCATTAACGTAAAGCACACTTCTCGCCCAAGATTGAGCTTTTTTTTAATTATATATATATAGATATACGAAGGTATATATATTTGTTATTTATTTATTTTAGTTATTTCTTTCCATGTTGAAATGGATCTAAGGAGTCGAAAGATTTCAAGAATTTTCGGATCTAAGCTGACACCGAATTCGAAAGATTGTGAAAATCTCACGACTGAAACCAAAATAATGGAAATCGAAGTGGAGGGAAAGTTGAAAGCTATTTTTGTGCTTTCCAATCCCGATGAGAGGCTATTGAGTCTCAGAATCCTCTGTGTATAGTCGGCCGGCTATGGCTGATCTGGTCGAAACTAGAGCGTCAGCCTATGGCCGATATATGCGCGAAAGGGTTAATTTCTGACATGATTCATGGAGCAGGCATTGGGTCTGGATTACTTCCCCTCTGTGATTTACGGTCTGACTGGTCCTTCAGTACTTGGACAGTGACATTGGCCTGATGCAAGGCTGAGAGTGGGTATGGTGTGACTCTGAGTAAACACATGCAATGGGGATTGACAAGCTCTGAAAATAGCCAAAGCCCCCTTTGTGCCTCTGACGTCATACTCAACCTCTGCCAATGTCTGTGTCGGTCTGTCTGTCGGTGTCTGTCCCTGTCACGTGTGTGCTCTTCTTAATATGAACCTGCAAGCGAACGTGTCTTATCTGGCCCAGATAACCTCCAAACAATAGAGTTGCTTTTCTTCTGGCGTGATGTATCAGGCCATATCGTGACCGTCTCAATCTCCTACCCGATCAAAGGAAGGAGGTTTTTTTTTGTTTTTCTTGGGGTTGTTCCAAATCTAGTGCTTGTGTGCGTATAACGGGAATTATTGTGAAGAAAAAGCCTTGAAGCGTCGTCTTGTCTGGCACGACCATTGGCAAGAACCTTTTCAATTTTTCGCGCTGGAAATAACCTGGGAAAGATTTTCTCACTCGCGAGTGATGATTATGGAGTCGGGGATTCTCTCGGGACTTCTCCCCTTTCTCAAAGGAATGCATATGACCCGGTTTTCGAAATGAAAAGTTCCCGAATATTCCTCTGGTTCTCGTCGAACTCAATTCCAGACAGCGATATAGGAATTCCCATGGAAGACGAGGAAGGAAGACGGACAAGAGCAATCCCATTACCTCCTCTCGCTTCTACCTTCCCATCCAATGCTCGTGTAATGGCTTCTTCTTCGGGTCTTGATACGATTTGCACTCTCGGAGAGAGGAAGAGGTACCGTTGGCAAGTTATTCCTACAGGGAAAGGAATGGAGGAAAAGGACGGTCGAGGAAATTACAGCTCATTTCCGACTCTCTTCGAAGCGGAAGGGCCAAAAACCGACGTGAGAGGGAGTTAACACAACAGCACTATCCATTATTACCCATAGAAAAGTTTGGCAAGTTTTCTCGGCTCTTGTACGTAATTCAGACTCCTGCTTCCATCTGCTGCAGAGAGACGTGCTGTCTGGTCTGTGATTAATCGGTGCGGGAAAACTGACTCCCCTCTTGGCTTCCTATGAAAAAGATCCCTAATGACCACTGTCCTCTTTTTTTGGGCGGTTCTACTCGATCAGTTGATACATGTATGAATGACAGAAGAAAAAGAGAATGGCCTTGAGCAAACGACTTCATCTTTTTTTTTCTCTCTCTATCTCTCACTCTCTCTTTCTCTCAAGCCATTTCTCAGATCCTTGGCTTTTTGCATGGGTTTCCCTTTCCCTTCATCCTCGCTTCATCGTCTTTCATCTCGGTCCGATTTGTCTGGATTTGTTTCCAGAAAAATTTAGGTCCTGCTTCTGTGTTCCATCTTGTTTTTCCTGTTTTCTGGAGACCTTGAGGGAAAGTGTGTGCAGTAATTTTCCCCCCTCTTTTGTCTTCGTCAAGAGTGCTGAAAGAGCCATATCCCGATAGGAGGAGTTTCTTCCAGAATCCTGATGAGGTGATTGTCTTGTCCCCAGCCCTCTTTCTTTTCATCCGCTTTTCCCCATGATACCAGTTTTTTTGTCACGCATGCTGAGGGTGACTTTCTTGACGCCAAAGAATCCCCTCTGAATACCAGAAATGGGATTCGGTTCACATAGAATGGATTCTGTGAATCTTCCTGGCGGACCCTTTATGGGTGACCTAGTCGTAAAAAAATAATCATTATTGTCTTCTGGGTTTCCCGCTCTTGCTTGCCGTCATTGGCGGATGCGGTGGTCGCTTCATGGCGATAACCGTTCCCCGATCGGTTTTTACGACTGTGACTTGCGGTTTTGTCTTCCTTCATCCGGGAGCTCCTCGTCAAACGCTTCCTTAGACTGAGGGCATGTGACACATTTGCTGTAAAGAGCTGAAAGCAGAATATGCTAATCTTCGACATGCAGATCCACGAGCTTAGGGTGAAGCAGTTACTGAGGCTGAATGGATCCGATCCACTGTGGATCGTGGATCCGATGGTGACCATCAGGATTAGCTGGAACATCTCCCTTGTCTGTACGTCCTTTGTCGCTCTCATTCCTGACTCCTTTCACTCTTGAAGGAATCGAGGGCAGTTGCGCGAAATATTTAAGTGGGCGGTGGTTGATGTCATCAGACCGGATGAATGACTTCGTCGAAGTACTAATAGAAAAATTTGTGTGCCTGAATTATCCCTTTCGCTACATAATTAATTTTTAGTTTTTGAACTTTATATTTGTCATCTAAATGTTATATTGCCATCAAAATTGTCAGTTATACCCAAAAATTTAACATTTATATTTATCATATTTTATGATACTTAAAACTAAATTTTAGTTCTGGTGACATGTTTCTATTGTTTAAAGGGAATAAAATCCACTGGGAAACTGTCCCGAGGCTTTTTCCCTACAAAATGGGTATGAGGCACAGTTCGACTTCAGTCGAGCGTCGCAGCAAAATGGTTAAAAACAATCAAGAAGCAGAAAATTGATACACTGACGCTAATGTACATATTATACCTAAACCCCTTTTTTGATGTTATTAATTATTGAGATTTATTTTAATGGAGGATTTATTTAGGCGGAAAACCTGTCAATCTACTTTTCCCCGCTTTTAAGAGAAGGGTCACTCTTTCCTTCTGAAGCTTGAGAAACTATTTTTTTTTCCTATTGACCAGTTTTTCTTCCAACCCTTTTAATTGACCAGTTTTTCTTTCAACCCTTCATTATTTGCTGACCGAATCAACAGAGATACGGGCCTAGACCAGTTTTCCTTTCAGTCCTTCATTAATGATTGACCAATTTAGCGGATACAGGCCTAATTACTGTCAAATAATTTTATTTTTATTTTACGGAAGTCGAAATCTGGTTCTATTTCTTGCGAACGAGCTTGATGCTGCCATGCATCTTCTTTCCCATTCTCACCACTGACCATTCTGCGAAACAGATGAAGTGAACATACGAGGTACAATATCTTAGGCATGCTTCCAATTTCTTCCGTATCACAATATTAGGAAGAGGTACGAGTTCAGCGGTTATTTTATCATCCAGAAGGAATGAAAAAATGGAGAGAGAAAAAATAATTCGAGGCATAAATGATTGCCTGTGAAGTATTTTCTACACATGTGTTGTTGATAGTTGATAGGTGATTGTCGAATAGTCCGTATTGGTAGCGCAAAATTATTCGCCTTCCCCAATCCTTCCTGTTTCAGTAGACTGGTTACTTCAGATGACTAGGCAAGCTTTCTAGGCATCAGCCCCGCCTTTGGTGGGAACGCAAAGCCACCACCTATGAGATGCTGTCGGAGGTGATGTTGCAGAGGAGACTGAGGCTGAGTTACTTTCTCGATGCCATAACCAAAATTTAGGTAAATTCCTGCTGGAGTTCTTAGTTTTTTTTTTTTCCGCGACGACAACGCTCCCGGTGATTGCCCTCTTCTGGCAGCTGCGAAGCCGATAGAGCACCCCAGCATGCAGTGTCCAGGGTGCACCGAGCTCCGGATAGGCAAATTAGGGCGTGGCAGACGTGAATGAGGGCCACAGCGGATACCACTGTCTAAAACAACCGAAGACTTGTCATCCCCATGTGTCACATTCTCCCTGCAATCCATTCCATCATTCTTTTCAAAATTACCTTACTTTAAGTTCAAAATAGAAGGTAAATAGAGCTCTCCAAAATCCATTGTTTAACACTTTTGAGTTCTGGCGATCTGAATCCGCTTTAGGCCGTACCCGGCATGTGACGGGTATTGGGCTTGAAGTAATAAACGGAGGCCAAAGTTCAGGAACATGTCCAGATATTGTCGTTTCTCTTCCATGCCTTCTTTCTACCTTCATTGTAAGAGTTCCCGCCTCTATCTTCCACTCAAAAGGAAGGCTTCCTGTCGATTCATGTCATGGACATAAATAAAACATTTTTTCGGCCTCGCGGGTACCTTCGCAGAACTGGGGAATAATGGTCTTAGAAGACCCCTTCTCATTCTTCCATGTTGATTTCCTTCAACGCGATTCCGCATGGACACATCGAGGAGATTCGACTTTGACCGTGGTCGGATTTCAGAGCCGGAAATTCCCATCTTTCGCTTCGGCGCCTGTGTAATCCACTAGGTGCAGGTTGACGACTCAACTGTGACATGTGGCCCTAGGAAGCCCAGCATGCCAGGACCTAACCGCAGCATCGACAGCAGACGACGCTGATGACGGCAACCATTAACAGAATCAATATGGCGACCGTGATTTGGACGAGGAGCTTGGGTAAACTCTTTACCTGGATTCCCCTGGGTCGCGTAATTATTGTCTTTATACCGGCATCTTCCTGGTTACAAATAGGCTGAACGATTATGACGCAGGAGATTATTTCTTGCCTCTGGAGGAATAGAATTCATCTGCTCTTTCAATCCACTATTTTCCACGCTACATCGTGTACTGGTACGTAAAATCTGACCTGCTGAGCATGCACACGGCCCTATAGACCTACTTCGTTCGTATACTGATAACATGCTATTTCCTTGTCGTCGTTCTCATGAATGAATGGTTGGAAGCATTGTATCACGTAGTGACGGGATTGATGATGAGAATCACCTTTGCCCTTCGATAAGAGGAATCCCGCTGATGATGGTGGTGGTGAAGATAATGATCTCGCCGGATCTCTTTTCTTTCTCGGACAGCTTCCTTCGATGCCCGTCCTCATTTTCGCTTCTCGAAGCTATAGTTTGCTTTTCTCTTCAGCTGGTCTCAGGAGAATATGAGTTTCGAGATGGGAGATCGAGGGAAACTGAGTGAGATTTGATGGGACCAGAAACTTTGGAAAGTCGGGATTAGGTCTGACAGCCGGAAGTCTATGATTATTCCAAATGCACTGGCAGAATCCGTGGGTGTACGATCAGATCGCCAAGAAGTACCCGTGAGCCCTCATATTTCTCGAAAGGGATGAACCTTCATGTCGTGTTTTAAAAGAAAGTTCAATTGATTCTAATTATTTTTGAATTCCTTTCATCACATGAGACATATTTGAAATTGATTGGTAGCCATAGCCGTGATATGAGAACAGAATCACGTGAAGAATTTACTTTAAGGCTCTCATCTATGTCGTGGCTGATCCCACGACTCTATCGGATCTAGATCGGGTTGACAGGATCGGACTGCCTTGTTATCGCCTTCGTTTGGGTTGTGAGTAATGCTCACAACGTTTGAAGCCGCACATTTTGTACGGATTAATGGAAGACGAGGATTCCTAGGACCGCCTAGATCAAAAGTATCCCCTTCATTGTCTCTTCCTCGTCGTCTGCATCTGTCAAATTGAAACTTCATCCCACTCTTCATCTTGCTGCTTATCACCTGACACTACTCATGAATTTCTTGAGTTTCACCCACTTCCTTTACAAGCGTTTTCGCCAAAAGTCAACATATTGATACAATTGACGATGGCCCTTTGCTATGGCAGTCCGAATATTATCCTGGGTCCCGTTACAACTTCCGGCAGATTTACGGTGCTCGCTCTCATGATATGGTACAGGGGGATACAGGGAATGACAGGCTTTTGTTGTGGGACATATCTTGACTCCATTCTCGTAGGCCCATTTCATTCTGAATCATCCCTTAATCAATCACGCAAGCGGAGGAGGAAGAGGTTCTCAAATGTATAGAGAAAGAAGTTGTTTGGTGACCGAGTTGGGAGTTAAAATGTTCGCCAAAATGTTCTCGAGGCGTGGCTATTAGGAGGCCTTTTCCTGCCCAACACTTTTCAATAAAGGACCTTTTTGCAGTATCCTTCGATTTGAGTCGAAAGATCCGGGGATTCGTCGTCAGTGGGGAAAAAAAGTACGTATTATTTGCATGTGTACAATACAAAGCAAATTCTGCAATTTTACTGTGTATGGTGTGTGTATGTGCAAATGCTATGGCTAAGTACAAGAACTAGCTAGAAACAGAACTAGAAGAATGAGACGTCTAGAATTCAATATTTCTAGGTTTCAATATTCCATCTTGCAGTTGCTCTGGCCGTAGTTCTCTCTCGAAGGCTTTAAAGCTGCGATCAGACGCTATGATTTTACTCATGTGTGACTGCTCTTATGTGAGTTATAATATTGTGTAATCAGGGCTTATGATCGAGTCATAGACTCTCTCGAGTCGCACGCCAACTCATTTGGTCTCATGACCACCTTCGCTTTCTTTTGATCACTCATAGGAAAGATGCCCGCGGATTGGCTGTCATGGTCAGTCAGCATGGCAAGGTGCTTCCCGTCCCGTCAGATGCCCATCATCCCATTTAAGCCGTTGGAATTCGTTATGGATAGACGTCTTTGTTCGGCTTGAGAAGGATGTAACGCAAATCTTGCTGACATGGGTCATGAACATTGATGAACTCAACAGTACTTCTAGGGGTGAAGAAACGGAAGTCTTCGTAGGAACAGAAAATTGAATTTTCCTTATGCGTTTCCTCGCCTCCTTTGCAGCCTCTTTCACATAAAAACATATTTCATGGTTTGAAATTTTAAGGCATCCCCAAGATCTCAGCGGAGTTCCGAACAACAGCAGCTCCAGCTTATCTCTTTTCGCTGTCTGTAAATTCCTCCCAGATGTGGTTGGGAATCTAGAAATGCATTGCCCCTGAAACAGACCTTGCGGAAGAGGTGATCTAAAATAATTCGCAGGGTTTTCTCGTAGCAACTGCACTCAGATATGAGCAGTCACATGCGAGCAAAATCATAGGGTCTGATCACGTCCTTAGAGGAAACATGCTGAATCCTTCTGGGTCAAGTAGGGACGGGTCTGGGGGTGAAGGGCTCAGCTCTGAGTCACAAAAGGGACACTTGCCGCAAAAACTGCGGTATTTGCTTTTGTAATAAGAGTAGAGAAGGGTTCAGACAATAAATTATCGCATGCTGATGACCCTGGTGTCCCAAATTTTCCCAAACGGAAACACGGATTGGGACTGCATTTGACATCTGTTCAGATACAGTAAATAAAAAGAGGCAAAACCTCCAACCTTAGAGGCAATGATGCCCTCCATCTTCATTAATTGGTCTGAATTCCTCGTAGTGCTTTCTTTAGTTACGGTTCCGCCTTGCATTATTTAAGAAGTAGAAGCGAGAGGGAAACTAGGTAGAAGTTTCTTCGATTTGTCTGCTAATGATTGCCGGGTCTCATTATTCTTCGCTGATGAAGAAGCTGAGGCCCTTCTAGAAGTATGCTTTGCTGTAATTGCAAAAACTAATGGCCTGATAACCTCAACTTGCTTCGTTCTCACCTATATCTGAGCTGTAGGAGACGGAAAACTCGTGAATCAGAATCCACCCGCAACATATATACTGTATTGGATTTTGAACAGAGGACTATCCGATAATGCAGCTTTATCACAAGGAAAATACATTAAATTTCCTGAAAGTAAAGTTGCGTTATCGGATAGTTCTCTGTTCAAAAATCCACCCTTAATCGTGAAATTGATTTCACCCATCGACAGTTCCACGTCCATGTGTTCCACGCTAGAGTTTTCGCATGCACAATTCATATCGCACAATGTACGGGTGGTGTTCGTCGGGAGGTGGTAGGGTGATTTTTTTTTATGTTTTGGGATGCCGTAGCGACAAGGTGCGTGCAACGCCGCAGCTACTGGTATTAGAAGACAGGGATCTGTTGTAGAGGCTAGCCATAGGAGCTTATAATTCTGCCACTGACAGAAACTCGGTAGAAAATGGACTCTGATTGGTCGTAATGAAAATATATTGCTATGACAGGGTGCTATTAACGTTGAAAAGCTTCTATTCTATTCGAATGGTATTTTTATTGTAATAAATGAGTCGACCAACTCCCAGCTTCTTTACGGAAGGAATTTGTATTGCTTAGTAGAAATTATGCGTTCCAATATAATCAGCGGATACTGCAGCAATAGCCCTGCTCAAGGACATTCAGTGTCTTGAAGCGCAGAGTGGACCAAATGTGACCCGAATACTGAATTGCATGTGCCGTTTCAGAGTGCCGAAGCGATGATGAGAGAATCCCCCCCCCCCCCCTGTATGCATTCATTTATAATTGAGTGTCAGTTATGATTAACTTCATTGATGCTTGGTTTGAATAGGTGCCTCGGCGTACGACTCGGTCCGTCCGTTGGCTTATCCTGAAGCCAGGGTCGTCCTCCTCTGTTTCTCCATCGGGGAACCCGAATCCCTTGACCACGTTGTCACCAAGGTACTTTCTCGCTCATCAACTTCAATTATTGGAATAATGGAGCCCAGAGTCCCACGAACATATTGCAGTATTCTCTTAACCAGTTCTGAACTGCCCAGAACAAGCCACTCCGGGTCTTTGAAGCTTCTCATTTTGATTTTGGTGTAAAGACAGCGTAAGACTGCAGTTGCCTCTGTTGACAAAGGGCAATCTTAGCACCTGTTAGCTCACATAATCGCTCGTCACAGTGCCACAGAGAAACCTGAGTCACGTGATTTCCCCCGGAACAAAAATCAGCCACAGGAAGTACGCCCTTCGGCCATGACGATTACAAAGAAGGGTTTCTGCTTCGTTTGATGAGCACTAGATAGTGGCGTATCAGAAAGGAATGAGGAATGACTCGCACAATGAAATTTTTTTATGGACTGTATTATTGAAAAAAGGAATTTCACTTAATGTTTTAAAATGAAGATCATAAATATCTATTTTTCTAGTCTTGCCTATATGAAAGATTTTCTTTTTCATCCTGAATAGTGGTACCCAGAGATCCGTCATCATTGCACGACAGCGCCCATCATATTGTGCGGCTGCCAGAGCGATCTCCGCAATGACATCGAGACCATCTCCAGACTCGCCAAGATCCGCCGCATCCCCGTCACTTCCGAACAGGTTTTTATCTGTCTTTCTGTCTGTCTGCAAGCAAACTTCAGCCTATGTCTCCTTTCTTCGCTCCTTTCATTCTCTCTCTCTCTTTCCCCTCCATTGACTCCTGACTGCGCGCCCCGAAAATGTACTTTCCTCTTGGGATCCAATCGTCCCTGAGAAGTATCCAATCCTTTATCCCTGTCCTTAAATGCCTCCATAGAGATCCAAGACTCCTTCTGTGACGAGCTATTTTGTCAAGGGAGAAGGAGTGAGGGTGCCATGCTCAGCCTGGCAATATGATATCGGCCTTTTATACAGTAGACGAGAAAGAGGAGGCATCGATGCGGATGGATGAAGCTGCATCGCGGAGAAAGAAAGGGAAATGAGATTGAAGACGCAGGAGTAGTCTTTGGACCCCTGCCTTCCTCCTAATACTTCATAAAGGGCATCTAGGACTCCGGAAGCGTTGGATGCGTCGAATTCTATCTATAGGGCTCAAGCTGGGTTTTTCCAAGAGTGAGTCTTTCTGAGAACTGGAGAGAATCGAGTCATGATACCTCGATGGTGTTTCCTTGTTTCGTTTGTCGTCGGAGCCGCTGGGACCGTGGGAGCCATTCATATTTTGCTATGCAAATTCATTCTTCTCGAGACAGATGGACTCTTTTCAAAATTTATGATGGGCTTGTTTCTCCAGGGAGACGATCCCATGACGTCAAGGAGAAATATTGCAAGAACTTATTCCCTGACTTTATGTCTTCGTGCACTTCTCATCCTCTCTATCCTTTCTTTTTTATCGATCTCTCCATCCTTCACCTGATTCGGCGGCAATATCTCGGAAAGGAGGAAAGATTTAGTGGGGGTGTTTTTTTGTGCAGGAGGAGAGTAATTTCGCCGAGACCAATGACGTTTTTATGACCGTTCCCAGTCCGAATAAACAGGAAATGAGATCTCGGAATTGACGAATGGAGAATTGGATAATATACGGGTACGTGGTCGAGTTGGCGGAGAAAGGACGCGGGGACATTCATCATCTGCCTAAAATCGATTTCCGTTATCTCTGTGCATTGTTGGTTCACGTGGCGGCCGCAACATAACGTAGATGATTGTGTTATGTCCAAGGATGTGGTAACGTCGATATTTAATTTTCCTGGTCGTGCGCGACAGCTGGAACGGGAGTCTGGATCTCGAGGACGAGGACGGATCGAATGAATTCCTTCATTCTTTATTTCTCATCGGCCTCGTTAAACCTTAGGGAGCTGATTGCGGCATCGAAGAGAGGAGTTTTCCTTCTCGTCGTATTTGCGATTCGGCAGCTGGATGAAGAATTCTCTCCTGGGATTTTTCTCTAACAACCCCGATCTCCATTGAATTCCACGGGGAGAGAACGGCTGTCATCTGCTGAGATGGATCTCTCTTTGTGCTCAACAAGTCTCCTTTCTCTGTTCTCCTTCTCCTATATGGCTTCAGACAAAGTCGGGATGTTGGAAGATTCGTCTACAAAGATTTTAGGTCGCACAGTCCTCGGGTCCATTCTGCATTGATCTGCGAAATGATCTTTCCTTGATAATGCATTTTGTGGAAGAAGTAGGAGAAAGAAGAAAGAGAGACTGATGACATGGTGAAAGACAGAGATTACTCTTCCATCCCACCATTCTTCCTTTCCCCTCATTTATTTCTTCCTTCCCCTTCATGATATACAGTGTGTACCGACGGTCTTTTCTCCCGCAATCAGTTCCCTGCGATCCTCTTGCACGACTCTGAATTACCCTCCTTTGTCTTCTTGACGCCTTGCAAAAAGAGGAGTAATTTTTCTATTTTTTTTTTGTTTTTTGTAGGCATTACAGGTCAGCCGAAAGATCGAAGCCGGAAACTACGTGGAGACGTCTTCGCGGACGTCGGTTAAGAGCGTGCGGGATGCATTCGAAGTGGCAGCCTTGGCGTCCCATGGAAGGCTGAACGCGAGGGGAGGGGGAGGGTTAGGGAGTGGGGTGGTGAGCAGCCACGCTGTCAGACCGCCATCCAAGACCAATAACAAAGCTAGGCTGGACCTCAAGTACGAACTCAAGGACCGGGCCAAAGTCTGCTCCCTCATGTGACGTGGACCTTTGAGTCGCTTTTCTCCCTCTCTCCATTGTGATATTCCCGATCAATCTCGCACTGTTTGGTCTCCCCGAGTGGGGTGTCTGAGAAGTGAGGAGCGAGTTACCGCTTTCTGGAGAGGGAACGGTTTCCTGCACGATTAGATAAAAGTTTTCGTGTTTTGTCGGTGGATTTGGGTGCTGGCATCCAAGCTCTTCTGGTGACAAGAAAAATATCGGAATAGTTTTGATACATTTAACTTCACAGAATTTTCTTCCCTCAACTCCCTAAGTGTCGCTTTCATGGACCAAAACAAGTTGAACCTCGTCTCACTACCAGGATTTCTGAGGAACCCGTGTTAAGTCTGTGATGTGAATTTCTGGCTTTGCTTACCCATACATACCCTCATACCTTGCTGGAACCTTTCCGATCCCGATTGTCTCGGACATTCAAGCCCAGAGAATCTTTGCTCACGTGCAAATGTTGAAGAGAAGAGGCTGTTCGAATGAGGGATTTTTTTGCAACTTTTCTAGTCATTTTCCTAGTGTATCCAACCAAGGAAGATTCCTGGCACTTCCCTCAACAAAAATGAATGCATTCTTCTCTTGAATCGTCTTTTCATTTTCATCGAGCCAGAACTTATGTTCATGACCTCTAATAATTTCATTATTTCATACCTCCTCTAAGGCTGGTCTAAATCTCCCATCATGGAATCCCGAATCCTCTGTGCCCCATTATCTCCATAATGGGAGGGAGAAATATGCCCCATTCATCCATCCCGCCTTTGATGTGCCTTGTGACGTCATTGGAAACTTGCCTCGAAGCGAGTTTCCTCATATCTTCTTGACTTGATGGTATGGGGAAGAGGGCTGGATCTGACAGAAAGTCGAAATCCTGTTTCATTCCAAATTCCGCCTTCTGTTTGGACACAGAAGCCGGTGAAGTGAAAAAAAAAAACTTTCTACCCGCATGCCAATGACACAGCGTTTCTTCACATGCGAGAGGAGGCGTGATTTTTTTGGGGAGTTTCAATGACTCCAGGGTGGCCTCGGGTAATTGACAAGAGTCACTCTCTGCGACTACGCCGGCTCAAATTGCATCCAAAAAAAAAGGAGGGGGAAGGGGGTGTCGTGGCATGTATCAGGTCGTGGGAAAAGGCTGAGAGTCTCTCTCTGACTCCGACTGGAAGACATCCGTCTCGCCTCGGTCAGCAGAGACAGGATTATGGGGATGATTTTAGTGAGGCAGGGCAGTCCCCTTTTCCATCTAGGAGTCTCACCAGTAGTTTGAAACTCTAGCATTTTTTCAGTGAAGTTTTGATATTTTTGATGACTCATGAGCTGGAAGCATGCAGTTTCCGCTTCAAGCTATTTGACCTAAGCTTTTGCAAGTGTGAGATATGAGAAGGGTTAGACAACACCGGGGCATATTAAAAATGAATGCATGAAACAGGACGATGGTGAAAAGCTTGGAGAGGCCTACCGAGTCTCAACGATCTGTTTTTCCCAAGATCGTTAGGCAAGAAACCTCGGCATCAAGATGCACGGGTCGGCTGGTAAATTTGCATAATCCCCAAAATGCCATCATGCATACGTTTAGCGCAGCGAAGGAATTCGAAATAGTCTCGCCGTCTTCAAATATTCATGTCTTGCTCCTCAGTTTTAGCTTTTGCAACAAAGGCTATGCCTTAAGTCTTTCCTGCTGAATGAATGTGCGGATGCTAACTTTCGTCTGATCATGGATCTTTTAGCGGAGTCATCCAAGTTGCTGGACTCGCTTCAAGACTTTCTGGGATCTACGCGCATCTTTAGTCCTTATGCCTCTGAGCCCTGAGAAGCTCCTGTCCCCTAGTGAGTAAAATAAGAACTAGTTTTGTTTCCTTGGCTCACGAGAGTACTGCAACAATCTTTCCACTGCGAGGATTCGCTCCTCTCTACCGTCCTGGGTTGGCAGCCTTTTCTGTGCTTGAATTTTCACCTCAATCACAGCAAACACTGGGAAGGGTATATTATATAAGAAGGTTTATTAATGCAAAATCGACACCGGAAGCCTGAAGACAGTATTCTAGTACATGAATACAGGATTTGAGCAAGATACATGGAAAGAGCATACATGTAAAGAAAATTGTTCCAATTCCAGACATTATATTGTGCTACACAATGTCAACGGAACACAAAAATGAGCTCCCCTTTGACTAGAAACGCATACATTCACATGACATGCAACATCCTTGTACCCAAGTTCATCATGGCAAACAGTACAGGTCTCTGTTTCAGTTCCCATTGAGAATGTTACTGAGATTGTAAGTAGAATAAGAGATTCAAGAAGCAATCAAATCACTGCATTAATGCTAAGAATACCAAAACACACAACAAGAATGCTAAGAAACAATTCATCACAGCTGAATGAAAGAATATTCAAAGCATTGACTGAGATCTAGGATGAAGCCATGCACAGCATGAACACATTCATGGCTTCCATTCATAATCACTTGGCACTAGATGCATACAACACAACAGCATTCCCATCTGGAAATCCCAGCAGGAACAAATTCAATGTGACTGATAGTCGATCAATGAATAAAGTACAGAGAAGCAACTAAGACGCTTCTTTTGTTGACACTTCCACGAATGATTATCACCCATGTTTGATGAGCGAACTTTCATTTCACATGTAAGATGTGGAAAATGGCATCAACAGGTGCCAGATATGAATGAAACTTTGATTCTACCACCTTAAAGCTGTTCCTTCCACCCATCCAACAGCAGATGGAAGGGGGAAAAGGATTATAATGATATAGGCCTAGTTCATTGCATCACACAAAAGCAAACTTGTGCACAGGAATAAAACTGATGGAAGAGGCTGGATGCAAAACACGAGAGTATGTAAAAAGTTTTATCATTTCATATTAATCTACATGCATGTGGGACTTTAAAACTGGAGGAGAATGAGGCATTGGAATGCCATATCTGCCAGTGTTATCTGACATGAGGGCAGAAAAGGAAGAAGTTATTTAGAAAACCTGATGAAGTGTCTGCCTTATTTGAAATTCTTTGCTGAATCTGAATGCCAAAATATTTAATGAACTGGAAACTAGATTCTACCACTGGAAAAGAAAAAGATACTTTTCTTGGCCATCTAAAAGGCAATGTACTGCAGGTAACATTATCTGTGCACCAGACAATACTGTCCTGAAGAAATCTCCTTGTTGGCTACCCAACCAATATGAATTATGATGAATCTGGGAGAAGCTTTTTGTGGAGGAATGTACCATGGATTCATTGGCCTACAATGATAGAGGCAAGAAAGCTGAACAAAAAGTGGCAATATATACATATTTGGCAGTTGGTGATCATCAATACTTATCACAGTTGGCAGTGGAATACTGGGTGCATATGGTGTTATCTGTTTGTTCTGTATAGTTGGAGATGTCCATCCCTTCAACCAGGTTGTGGATGTTGCAGTAGTTGGTACCAAAATCCAGCCATGCAAACCAGAAAGCAGAAGTGGAGAAGGCCTGCAAAATATCCAAAGGCTCATGATAAGAACAAACTGATCACAGCAGGAGGGTTTAGACCTACCTTGGTATTCAAGTATGAGCTGATTCCATAATTCATTTCATTTTCCCAGATATTAAAAAAGATATCACAACCACTGATGATGGATTTTCTGATGTACTAACATGCATGCATAGATGGAGTAAGAAATGATTATAAATTTTCTCCTAAGACACCCTCACCCCAATCACATAACCTGCTGCAAGTACAAATATAAGGTTAGAGTGCCTATACCTCAACAATGCATTGGCCTTCCTCATGACCAAATTTGAAGGTAATATAATCCATGAAGCGGAATTTGGGAGTTGTATGGGTCCCACTCACAATGTTCCCCTTCACACTCGTCACCTGTACCAGACACAGACAAGAGACAATGATCCCATGAAAATTGAGACATACTCTGGCAACTAGAGAAAGAGCAATAGAAAGTGTGCTTACTTCATATAAGCACTTCTGTCCCCCTGATTCACAGTTGTTCATACCACTCCACATATGCATTTGATGAATCAGGGCATCTCTGACTCCTGAACACCTCTGAGGAAATGTTCTGCAAATGAATTCATCAATTCCAAATATATAATGTATCAAACCCTCAGCATGTCAAGGACATCCTTTAATGATACAAAAAAAATCAGATGAAAAACTAAAAAACTTGAGCAGAAGAGGAAGTGGTTGCATGACTTACATATTAACAGAACAGGAAGCATGTCGAGGAAAGGGTAGTGTGAACATAGCGACAAGAATGGCGGTAACCAGAACCAGGAAGAGGAATCCAACAGCTCCTCCAAATATACCCATGCAAATCAGGCATTTATCCCAGCTGCAGCCTGTACTTGTTTGTCCTGAAAACAGCAAAAGCACAGGACTCAGGACTATCCCTCATTGCAAAAAATAGCCCTATATTCTGGCACAGTAAGACAAAGCACCTTTACAAGCAGATATTTACTGATACTGAGATCAAGGTCTTCATAGTAGTGAATACTTTCAGTATCTAGGGTATCAATAAAAATTTGCCAAAAGATAACAGATCATCAAAAAAACAAAATATGCAATGTTTTATTGACATTTTACATGAAGGGAATGGTTAAAATCATTTACATGCCTTGTTATGCTCCAATACCCTTCTAGTACTAAGGAATCAATTTATGGGGAATATCTAAAGAATGTTGATGAACATCTCTGGATAGGCCATATGGAGAGGCACCAGGCCTCTGACTGAGGCCTGATGACTCTATTGGGACTGAGGCATTCAGTATTGGGCCACACCATACCATTGCCCTAATGTTTTTTCTGCAATAGACATCTATCTTCTGATAATCTGAGGTGACAATCTCTCAATTGTTGTAAAAGTCATGTAGTGACAGGAGTCATGAAATTCATAATTTGGGTGACCTTACTTGAAGAATTACAGAGAAATACATAAACACCTTATTACTATTGAAAAGGAAAAATAAGCAAGTACCAAAATACCTCTTGCAATAAAACTATTTACTTGATGAAAATGAAACTCATCAATTGCCCTCAATCTTCATGTATGGGATAATATTCCTGAAAATAAGTGCCCAGCATAGAAAAACTGCATTAAATATTAACTTATTTTCCATGCAGCAACAGGGATGTCAACTACCACTATGTAAGAGACTAATGGTAAATGAGCTGCAAATCCAATCTGAAGATGGCAACTGTGCCTGGTACATCTCATAGCCTTGCTCAATTGGGAAGCTCCCCTATGTACACTTCGGTTTGCTTAAACGTGTGGTATGAAAAGGCTTGAACTGTCCCAAATATGAATGGATCCAGCACAGCCCTGTACATCACCAGTTACCTATCCATATGGCATGCAGTGCTACATGCTTACGATCACAAAAATTTGGTTAGCTATTTACACATCACAGATTTGACTTGCAAAGAAAGTTTTGTTCTTCAGTTTAAAATCTTCCATGCTGTGAATTGGCTTAACAATGTCCTACAAGCCTGCAAAAGAAGAAAAACAACCTACATTTATGTTTAAATTTACCAAAGCTGATAGTGAGTTCTCAAGTCTACTTAGAGTATCAAGCTCTAACTTACAAAAAATTTGAGCAGAGAGAAATACAAAATATTCAATTACAATAGGCCTATGGCCAATGCCCAAGAGTGAAGACTGACCTTCACCAAGCAATTTAGATCTCTCCACCAGATCCTGCTCGGGTGAGGCGGTACTGCCAATGCTGCTCCCTTCTCTGATCTCTCCATTCTTCATTTTCGCAAGGAGGATCGAAAAGAAAGCTCAAAGGGCTCTGCCGCAACGTCTAATCCTTGAACCACATGAGAGGAATGCTTGTTAAACAAACGCAAATAGATCTGCTTCGGTGGGACGCCATCTATCTGACGTCATGGTGATGTAAGATACCGTTGTCACATGGCTGCTCGCAGTTGGTGCCGTGCCACGGAGAAGAACGGAGGTCAGAGCGGTGCCTTCCATCCTTGGTTATATCTCCTCTTCAGCCCTTCTCTTTGCCTTGCTGTTTCTCAGCAGATTGTGCCTGTGTTTCAGTGGGATATCTGTGCAAAAGGCCAGTGATATTTAGTGATTGCACATTACGTGTGCCACTCAATGGTGCTCTTGTGTCCCAGACGAAGAGACGCGATGGACCCCAATTTGTGATGCAGCTCCCTCATTTGGCCCCCCCTTGAGATTCGAAGTTCAACTCGAATGACGAGGATTTCGTGCTTGGGGGCACAGTGACGCTTCCTAGTGGCATTACGGAACCCACATTAAGATTAAAGCCCTCATTAGGACGTCATCCGCCTTCATTCAAATGGGTTTCTTCTATCAGCTCAGGTTACTTCTGTGGAAGAATTGGATCTTGCGGAAACGAAGACCTGTAAGTAGGCCTAGTGCATTTAGAGCCATTTTCCATTGCAATTAATGTGATTCGGCACACTAAGTCGGTATCGCTGTTAAACGGTCTGCGGGTATTTTCAGGGTCAGACGTTCGTGGAGTTGGCCTGGCCTCTCGTTCTCTTCATCATCTTGGCCTGGGTCCGGACTAGAGGATTGAAAGAGTTCGAGGAGACATGTGAGGGAATTTCCTTACGTCGTGAGATCTTCGTACGATGAAAGACGTATGGAACGAAGCTCTTTGCTTTCTCAGGTCATTTCGAACCGAGGATGATGCCCTCGGGGGGATTTTTGGCATTCCTCCGGGGAACTTTCTGTACTTTGGGAAATCCTTGCCGAAGCGAGCCTGTCCCGTACAGGTCCTGGTTTGATGTCTTCGAGGATCTTCGCATGCCTGGGTTAGTCTTTCATCCGTGGAAAACTTTCCGATCCACATACTGATTTTTTTTTCCTGATTCGTTCCCCGTAAAAAAAAAGGGGGGGAATGACATCTGAGCTTGATTTGTGACATACCTGTGTCAGTCATGTCTACGCATCTAATTTCTTTTTTCCCTCATTCCATCCAGTCCGAAAGTGGAAAAAAGGAACAGAAGGGAAGTACATTAGTCGCATCGAACCGGTTTAGAACTTTAATTGACCTCGTGGCCTCGAACTTCCGGAAGATAATCTTATCACTTCTCAGCGTGTTTTTTTTCCAAGTGCACTTGCACTTGAAGCCTGCCACAGTTAGAAGGCCGTATAGGAGAGAGAAATCGATCGCGTAGGGCATAGCACCCACAAGACTCCTGGCCCCATGCCAACGCGCCTTCCCGCGGCCGCTCTTTCCTTTTCACTGTCTACTCGTCTCTATTAACCAGTTGCGGGACAAAGTCCTCGTTGACGAAGTTCTTTCACATCTCATCTTTTAATGCCTTCCTTTCTTCTCCAGTTTCGTTTCATCAAAGTTATTCATGCTGTGACGGACTTATGAAGAAGAGGGCTAAGTTTGGGGCGCCTGGATTATTGCGTCGTTCTTAGTTCCAGGAAAACACGCTATGGGGGGGGGGGGGGAATGGTCCCCCGAAGTCTTCACTATATTGATGTTCATTTCCTAGAAAACATCCGGAGGCACTTTTCTTGAACCACAATTTCCGTGTTTCTTTTTTTTTTTGCCCCCCATCTACCAGAAAGCCTTGGACTACACAATCCTCAGGTCGCGCGTGGGGGGCGGAGGGGGATAATGTCAGGCAAATTTCGCGAGGAAGGGCAATTGCTAAGTTGTCAAGTAACGATGAATCCCCAATCCATGTCACTCTTTAGAGTAAACTGTATATATTGATTTTTCCGGTCCCGAGTCGACGATCGCTTCCCTTCTACGCAGCCCATCATCCTAGAATAGTCAACTCGATCTATATTTTAGTGAGTGGGGAAAGGAGGGGAGAAGGGGAGGTTTCTGTTCAGGTATCCGGCTACCCTACAGGGAGCGCAGGAGAGCAATAGGAGTTTTGTAACAAAAGCATGAAGGGGTATGCATACACGCACGCACGCATATATTGTCAAGAATTTCATCCCAACTTTCTTGGGTCGCGGAGGAGCGTGCTCCATTGTTTCTAGTCCTGGGCAACGCATTCGAGCTCAGCATGTTTGGATCGAAAGACTATTCTTTGGAAGCTTCGAGGGGGCATGCGGAGGGCGTTTCAGAACCACCGGACTGAGGATCATCAATCTAAAGTAGCTGCTCGACCTTGTGGTTCTCATGCATAGCAACATTCCGCTTTCTATCACGACGCGTGACATGGATCCCCGGTCTTAAAAAAAAAAATTAAAAGAGACAGCTTGTACTCGCTATCTGATTATTTCGGTCATTGCCGGGTTCATGGGCATCGGTTAGGGTGGGGAGATGAGCACTCTTGAACGTACTCCTTGGAAACGTAAAGCCCAATATACTTGGCGAGTATTCACTAGCGAGTTCTCGCCAAGTGTACTTTGGCCTTAAGATTTCGCTGCCGTTGCCCGCCCGAGTTCCAAAGATGCGATTGTCGACCTCGTTTCCATATTTCTTCCCATGCGCTCGAACTTCTTCACCTGTTGCGAAGGAACTTCCTTAAACGTGAATGGCGCACGGGACAGGATTTCTCGAGAAAACCATGACCTAGATTTTGGAAATTCCCTCTCAGTTGCAGTGTCATTCAGTCAAACCAATCCATTACGCTCCGAAGCTCCTGCAAAACTGGGCCAAAGGAACGGCATTATCGGTAAATAGATATTTTGGGTCTAGGTAAATAGGTATATTTACCTAGACGCCATCCTCACTCACCTCCTTCAGACCCGGACTGCGCTAAGCACACGTAATTCTCATTGGCGTGCTCCCAATCATTCTTGGTATACCTGGTAAGGTCTATGCCAAGGTGCTGAAAAATAGATATGGAAGAGTCGTTGGAGAAGCCATCCGGCTTTCGTGAAGGTTGCGACACCACGGACCTGCTCTTTAGGATCCTCATCGGGCATGTGTGGGTGTTCGGTGGCGAATCGCATCGGAATCGTGTCTTGCTTGCTGACCCGCTCCTCCTCTCAAGATGATCTCTCATGCATGCCCTCTGCCCGAGGGCGTGACAAATTTAAGGGAATCCCGGAAGTGACTCGTATCGGAATCGCGCTCTCCTCACTGCCGACTCCTTTAACAGCTTTCTGGTTGAAAATTGAGGCTGAATATCCGGAACTGTGTGAGCGGGCTTTGAAGACATTTATTCTGTTTCTCTCAGCGTATCTTTGCGGAAAGAGGGTTTTGCAGCGATTGAAACAGACTGGGTGATTGTGCAGTACCGTAAGTCGCCCTTTCCAAGACGTAACTGAGAATTGAAAAGTGCCTGTCATTCAAGTACAAAAAACCTTCCTAAAATGTAATGTAAGCACAGGATGACAAATTCGTTTAGCTACTCAGAGATGTATCTCAGCATCCATGGGTCGTCGTCTGACTTTGAATCTTGGTGAAGCAGTTCACTATACTATGAGGAGAAGGATTATAGGTATAATGTAACTACCTATATAAGGATGATGTTGGACATTACTTAGGTTGGAATATGCGTTTGTGTAATAAGTACCAAGTTTTCGTCATTTTCCTCTCTGATAGAGTCCACTTTTGGCAGTCATCCCAATCTATTCGTGTGTCTGATATGCAGGAGTAATCTCCTCCATAGTGCAGTGAGCTGCTTTACCAAGATTCAGGGTCATACGCAGTGTTGGGCGCGTTACCTCTGAAAAGTAGCTAGTTACAACTACAAGTATTCCATCCAAAAAGTAATTAGTTACCAGTAGAATTACTTTCACCAAAAGTAACTAGTTACTGCTGACGGCCGTCCCCCCCTCCCCCCGTAAAATACGCCTCTGCATCAATGGTACTCTCGAATTCGCTCCTAACTGCACTTCAAAATATGTTTGCAAGTATGGCCAGGAAACATGCACTGAATGACTATGGTTTCTCAAGGCAATTTCATATCCCCGCCTTTCCTCCCAATTTTGCATCAATTAGAATGCATGTAGTCATGAAGCGCTGGATGTTTTCAGCAAAATTAGTTAATCATCAAGAAAAAAACGCGTTACAGAAACGACACCTACTTTTCCCATGAAAAATGAACTAGTTACTATTTCCGTTACTTACCCCTGAAAAGTAACTCATTACCAAAAAATTTACTGAAAAAAAGTTATTAGTTACTGTAACGCGTTACTTTTACTTCGTTACCGCCAAACACTGGTCATACGACCCGAGGACGCTGACTTACACATTTCTGATTCACTGTTTCAATATATTGGTCACACTGTACTTCCACTCTTTTGATCGATGCGCATTTTACTTTCGCCTACCTTGGTGGATGCAACTGACACTGCACTGTTATGGAAAATGGGAAAGTCATGTTCTTCGTCTTCTCGTTGATTCAAGGCCACCAGAAGGTCAAGTTATCCAAGATCGGAAATTGAGAAGTGGGGAGGGGGAGGGAGGAAGAGGAAGAGGGAAGGTGGGGGAGAGGGAAGGGAGGAAGGGGACCCGGACGTGACAAGGCATTCCTGCCGGCTCTCCAACACTTCTGGGAACATGAACCGCTTCGTAATGGCATAAAGGATATGCTGGTTATAAGATTTGATGATAGGATATGAAATTGGTTCCATTCGTAGCGTTCTTTCTGGTCTAACTTCTCCTGGTCAGAGAAAAGTAAAACGAAAAGAATATTTCCACTTTCAAAACATCAGATGCGATGTTTTTGCACTGATATGATCCATTCGGGGTCGCGTCACAAGCATAGGAGATCGGCCTCGTGACCTTGATGCGATTTTCCTGATGCAGAGCCGCCTTGGCACCACTTGTATTTTTGTCATCACTCGGAACCTAAAGTTGCTCGTTTACTTTTTTCCCCCTCTTGAATTTGACACCTTATCAAGTGACTCCCACGTCGATGTTGAAATTGATGTCAATTGAAAAAAGCTAACATTTTTTTTTTGGCCCCATTATATTCTAACTTCCGTCACTGTTCGATTCAGTTGCTGATTTTGGTGCTTGATGCTTTTTAATATATTTGATGTAAAGTGATTTACGACAGACAGCTGAGCTCCCCAGCATGAAACTCCAGCGGATTCGAAATTCCGCGAAGTCTCTGGGGTTTGTTTTCCCTCTGTTGCACTTACAGCTATGGAAACTATTGAACTCTATACCTCGGAAGATATAGAGATTCCCTTTTTTCTGGACAACACATAACTAAAGCAGTACAATAAGCGCTCGGATGGATGAAATAGATTATTTTATTCATGGTGCCAGTCGAACCCAGTCGACCACGATGATGCTAACTTACAGGGTGTTCAGGAGGTATGTTGACAGTTGTGTATAATATTAAATCTGACATGTTTTTATGCGTGTGCTGTAAATCTAATTTTTTTTTTACTTTGCATATTTGTCGCGGTTTTTGGAAAGTCGACGGACTCACGGTCATTTCCCTCTTTTTTTTTGCCCTTGTTCCTCATTGCACCACCGATAGCAGATCGCGTCTCAAACTTTTCTCTGTAAGTCCGCCGCATCGAAAGCGACTTCCAGTGAGCTCTTGCGCCTGGGCAAGAGGGCAGAGAGTATACAGGACTTACCTATAAAAGCCTGCATGCATGCATGCACATAAGGTATGCACGTAGAGCAGTGGCGTATTTTACAGGGGGGCAGGGGGGCAGCCGCCCCCCCTGGCGCCCATAGGACAGAGCCTGGCGCCCCCTTGGAGGAAATCATTTTCTCACCTGATATCACTCGGGTGGGGTTTGGCGCCCCTACTCTGTTGCCTTGCCCCCCCTGACCCTTCAGCCAAAATACGCCACTGACGTAGAGGCATGAATCACATTCACTTTCCTCTCGTTTATTTATTTATTCCCAGGATCCTATTGCACGTTTACTTTCAATCTGGGATTTCGCAAAAAAAAACGCGCGAAAAAGGTATTTATATACTGTAATCCGTGCATAGGCATTGCTTTTAACATGTCCCCCAAAGGAAAGTCCTAAGGTCGGGAGACCGCGGTGCCCATTCCATTCGGATAAAAATGACCCCACGGCCTCTGCTGATAATATAATTTCCGGATATCCTGTATTGTCAAGGAATGCGTATGTTCCTCTTTTCACATGCACATACGTCAGAGCAATCCTATTTTTGGAGAAAGGAAAAGACAGCTTGATCGGAAACGACCGTAGCCATTGCTGCATCTCTCCTACTTTGGAATTCAATGCTTTCGTGGAATGATTACAATCGCAGATTCCCCGCATTTCTCTACTTGTTGAATCGAACAAAGGATCCCGAGCAGGAAAAAGGTGGCCCAGCCCAGTAGTGGACCTCCCTTCTCTGTTGGGAGGAGAATGTCGCAAGTCGGAGTAGGTTGGTAAATGGGAGCAGAGGACGAATGAAGAATGAGCCAAACTCATAAAATGCCATTTCCACGTGTGGCATTTTATGAGTTTGTATCCCACCCTGTCATCCTTTGTTTAAGCTGGCTCGTACAGCCAACAATGGTTCCGTCGGCCACGAAGACTGGTTGGGGTAATGCAATGATTCACACCTTCGGTTTCCACTCTGAACAGCTGGGAAAGTCAAGGTTGCGATGAGTAACGAGGTCTTGGCTCCTGCACCTTTACAGTACTGCTCTCTGCTGTCGACCAGTCTGTTGGTGTCCGTGGACCTCACCGTAAACCATGGCTACAATCTAATGGGGTGTCAAACTCGATAAGGCGGGGGGCCGGATGGAAGCCTTCAAGGGTGATCAGGGGCCACAACAAAAGCCATATTCCTAATCTTTTATGCAGACAGGCTGAAATTTGCAGTACTTTTCCGTAACCGACTGTTGAAGAGGACTTCGTGGGCCGAACAAAATGGACTGGTGGGCCGGATCCGGCCCGCGCGCCGCCAGTTTGACACCTCTGATCTAATGCGATTGAAATTTTGCGAAGCTTTGTTGAGATCCCGTCTGGTTTGGCACTGTTGTCAGTAATTGCCGGTAATCAAGGGCGTAACAATGACCTTTTTATTAGGGGGTACTGTGATGTAGCGACTGCTTTCTGCTTCTCAACCCTCAAGGTTTTTCGTACGGCAACCGACAGGCATTGTACATGTTTTTAAATTTAAATCATGGCCCTTCCTCTTCTTCCTTCTGTCCTTCCTCTAACCCCTTTCGTTTACGCTCCAGCTGGCACTTAATACAGGGCAATACCCCATCCCTGGCAATGCAAGGTCGAGCGACTCCTTTCCTTTCAAGTACTCCTTCCCCCTTATGGTAATGAAAATATCCCCGTACGGAATGCCGGTATCGAATATCTGCTCACCTGACTCACAATAGGGCTATTCCTCATAAAAGGATCGAATTTCCACCCTCGGCTGCTCGGTACACGTGGCGTCTCCGTTGCGAAAATCTTATCGCTGAATTGCGATTTGCGGTAATATGAACGCGATTCTTGTCCTTGAGATTGTTGCTAGAAATGAAATTGTTGTCGCAAAATAATGAAAAGAGTTCATGTTGAACTTATGTTTTTCGTTTACATTCAATTTAGAAATGTAAAGGAAAATAAAAAATACAAATAATACAATAGACTTATATAAGATTTAGCTATATCTGATGCCTTTTGTATTAGTGCTGGTAAAATGCGAGTTTATTAACGGAATGCTTGGGTCTTGGCGCAGTCCCCAAGACGTAAAAAGGGTGAAGAAATTCGTGGATGAGTACTTGGACCCGAACTTGGTGGATGCTGCCAAGAGGATCTCTCGCTATGCCGTCTACGAGGCCAGTGAGTGGATTCTCTCATCTCTTTGTCTTGGAGCTGGCAATGACTAGGGCAATGCCTCGCACTCTTACGAGTGTTTCCCCTGTTTGGCCATGTTTGACGTGTTTACTTCTCGGGTCCCGAGGAGAAAAACCAGCTGTTACGATTATACCCTTTTCGTTTTCCTCCTGATCGTTCATCACCCTGTTCAATGACATTCGTGCATTCAATTGTCTAAATTATTGTTTCTTCTATCGCCGCCAGATGCCACTGAGATCCCGGACATGAGGGCCTTAAAAAATGTTGGACTCACCGATTTCTTCTTCGGGTTCTCACCCGAGGTTCAGAGAATCTTCGACTTTTTTCATGAGGTGAAAAAAAACTGGAATATTCCTCAAATATCACTTCAAAATCGAATCGGAACAATGAAAGAATACAATCACATGGCATGTATAACTCTTTCGAACCACATGTGTAGCCAAATGGAGATAGCAGCCAGAATGTTATGCCATATGGGTTACCATTAGGACTGTACCGATGTATCGGCTAATACAGGTATCGGGCGCCGGTATGGCACCATTGGCCATCGGCAGGTTTGGCAGGAAAAAATTAGGGTTGTCCCGATGCATCCATCGATTTATTGATGTCATTTTCGATAGTTGAAGGCATCGTTGGCTTTAGTACCTGTCGCTAAGGTAATAAAGGCCCATCTCACACTCCCCAATCACAGGCAATAGAGTATGGAAGACGGCTAGAGGTCAGCGCCCCGATCGAGGCAAGAAAATACTGAATCCGCCGGCACCCCCCTCCCACTGGGTGCATCCATGCACTATCGATATTTCAGTCGATACATGGATGTTTTCGAAACATCCGGCGTGACAGTCCTAAAAAAAAGTGAATGCGGCTTCCTAATACTGTAGGTCTATTTGAATTTTAAAAAAATTAGTAAAATGGTTCTTCGCTGTTTCTCTACACGTCACAATAGGCACCTGCACCGGCCGATAAGTATGAGATCATAATCGGTCATCAGCCAAATGTGGCCATCGGTACAGCCCTAGTAACCAGTTGTGTGGTGGACCCCATACTTCGTCCCAAATTTAATGCATGAATCTACCAATGCAGGAATAATATATTTATTCTGATCTGCTTTTGGTCTCATGCTCCTGTTATGTACACTATTACTAAAAGGGTTAAAACTTCTTATAAGATATTTGTGGGAAAAAAAAGTTTGTTCCATATTTGTACATGCTTGTGTTTTGCAGGCATTAAATGTGTCAGAGGATGAAACTAGTCCCATTTTTGCCCTCTTGAAATCTGGGAAGAGATTTGCCTCAGCATATTCCAACTCAGGTCTCCCTTCCTTTTCCCATGCAATCAGGTTTGGAGAATCACTGATCAGTACCTTGCAAGTCAGTCATGTACAATGTAGAAATATATTACAAGAAGACTGTATATTCTTTTGCTTTAGATGGGCATTAGAAACTGAGGAGCTGCCAGACAACAGTGACTTGCCACCTGAAGCAGTGGCCTCCTTCAAGAAACTTCATTTTTTTGTTTGTGGCTCCAACAGCTCTGATGTTTTTGAGTCTCGAATGAGAAAGATGAAAAAGTAAGGACTCTCTGACTTGCACTTGATGAATTCTGCCTAGAAGGGAGGAACTGTGGTACAGTTACAATATTATGAATCACAAATTGTCAAATCAGGAAGCTGGATGAGCGAATGTCGGACATCCTGGAGAAGTTCCGCACAGAACCTCAAAAAAGGAATCGGACAAGAAGGCTGGAAGACGGGAACACATGCATAGCAGATGAAATATTGGAAGGAGGACAAGGGAACTTCTTCCGTTTCATCTGGTCTCAGATTCAACCCATTGTCCAGTAAGAAATTTTTTTTTTTAAACCTTTACCTCGTTTCATTTGTCTGACTATTCAGTGGGAATATACAATGGAACACTCCTATTGCATGTTCCATTTGAAATAACCTTCCTATTCTCTGGAATGTTTCAAGGTCAGTCTCCTGTTGCAATGAATCAGGCTGAAAGAATGTTGGGATTGTTTAGGGGGAAGATCCTGTATTATCCAGAGAATGAGTGGACTCGTCGCATCATGGAGCGGGTGCAGGCCAGTTGGGCCCCGATTTCACATCTCATGCGTATCCTTGCCATTGCTCATGATGATCTGCTTCCCATCATTTATGACATGCTTCATGATGAGCAGCTTCTGGTAATTACCTTTCCATAAATGTATGATCGAAATGCTAGTTGAACTTGTCAGCAGTAGATGTAATTACATGTGAAAGTGATACATACAGTCCTCTTAAATAGGTAGCAGTCAATGGTTGGATTATATCAAGGCAAAATTCAAAAGAGTTCTATAAACAGCAAGGCGCTTGCTTTCCAGTAGAATGCTGCCAGATTGAAACATGAAAACATCTTCTATGAACTGTATTTTGAGGTCTCACTAGCTGCTACACAACGATGCAGGATGCCATGTCATGTGGAGGCCTCTGCCACACAACAGTTCTACATCACTCAGCTTTTGACTGTTCTTTAAATTTGGAAACTTTCTTAACCTACAATGTAGATGTGACATTACCTCCTTCTTTACATTGGTGCATTTCACTGGTCTTGTATTTTATTGAAGCTAGGCCAAATTTACTTTATTTGAATGAACCATGAGTTGCATACTTTCTAGTAGAGCACTGCTGGAATGTGAATTGTGAATTTTTCCCTGAATCATTGGTGATTAATTACAGCTCTTAATTGGGTGCATGGATCTGGAAGTGGGTTAAAAGCTTCATAGTCACATTGTTTTTTAGGCCTAAGAAGATAATTCATCCTTATGACTAGATGATTGATGATCATTGATTTTATATTTCTTCTTTTGCAAAGGCGTTCCTCATGCGGGACACATTCCAGGAAAGTGTGTTCGAGATGTTGGGATTAGCTGGTGAAAGGGACCATTTCAAAAAGTATGCCTTGTCCAAAAAATATTGCAGTAGTGTGGGAACTTTGATTGATTTTCATACCTGTTCTCCTTTTATTTCCAGAATGTTTCTCTACTTTGAAGAAGCCAACAAAACAGCTATGTATCATAATATTGAGCATGCAATTGTTGATGCTCTATACTTACTACAGGTAATTTGCTGCCTTTTGTGATGAAATCACTTATATCTAGCAGTGATTTAAGTCATTTTTGTTTTGACTTTGAAGTGCTTTGAAATGAAGAAAATTGAGCCAATGCAAAGTGAAGAGGAGCTGGAAGAAAAGTCCTTGGTGCTTATCACTGACCAGCTACTCTGGGGTGGAATTGTGTTTATTGATGGTAACCAGACCGAAATGCCTCCCCATGTCCGCTTCAAGATCAGGTTTTCCTTTTGATTCAGCAATATACATATACAGAGTATGGTAAATAAAAAAGACCAATGACTTTCACCCTAAATATCGTCCCTCCCAATAGTCCCAATATCCCAATTTTTTTTCCCAATAGGAAAAAATATATTTTTGTTGAAAGTCGTTGGTCTTTTTTTTGCCATACCCTTTATATAGTACCTGTGTTCGTTGAGGATATAACAGCATCTGCATTTTTCTTGCAGAATGGATAGCAGTAAAGTGGACAATAGCCGAGAAGTGACAGACCGCATCTATGAACCAGGACCTCGAGCACGACCTAACATTGACTTGAAGTATGTCACATATGGTTTTGCTTTCTTGCAAGACCTTGTTGAGCGAGCCATCATTGCTCAGCACTCTGGTGTTGAAAACCCTCCTGGGATCCTTCTACAGCAGTTTCCCTATCCCTGCTTCACCAGAGATCGGTTAGATAGTTTCATCCTTCCTCCTGTCTGTGGAGGCTTGTTTAGTTCCTTTACAAACTGTGATCAGCTACCTATAGAATTTATTATTTTTAAGGAGTAATTTTTCACTTGGTACATACTCTTTTCTTGAATTGCTACTTTCTGGTCCAGAATCTATGCAACAGTGAATTAAGAATTTATGCATCATTCTTGTAGTCTTTGGCTTTATTCAAGATGAAACTTGGTGTTACAATAACAGCTTTCCAATCACTAATGACTCCTCAGACCAAGAAAAAGTAAAACCTATATGTTTTGGCATGTGTGAAAGTCACTTTGGTCTTAGGAAGATAGAGTGTCAATTTCTTGCTGAATTCAGGATCGTCTCAAACTGAAATGGCACTGTATAGGAGTAATGATATGTCCCTTTTTCTTGATTTTCTTGGTCACTAAATATTAATTTAGGCCCCACCATCAGTCTGCTTCATATTTCTAGTGCTAAGAGGGGGCATTAAGTTTTGATTAGAAAGCCATGTTTTAGGTTTCCACATTGTTTTCTTATTGTCCAAGAAGATTGCAACTCAGTAGCATGAAGCACAAATTCCATAGTGACAAAATGTCTTACCTTCTGACACCTACCATCCATGTTGGGCAGTAATGAAGTAAAAGTAACGTGTTACAGTAACTAATTACTTTTTTCAGTAACTTTTTTGGTAATGAGTTACTTTTCAGGGGAGAGTAACAGAAAAGATAAATAGTTCCTTTTTCATGGGAAAAGTATGTTGCATTGCTGTAAGGCATTCCTTTTCTTAATGATTAACTAATTTTGCTGAAAACAACAAGCACTTCATGGCCACATGCATCCTAATTGATGCAATGTTGGGAGGAAAGACAGGGGTGGGAAATTAGCTTTGAGAAAGCATGGTTTATTCAGTGCAGGTTTCTTACCGTACTGTAGCGCAGGCCATACCTGCAAAAATATTTTGAAGTGCAGGAGGTCAGGAATGAATTCAAGAGTTCCATTGATGCAATGGCACATTTTATGAGGGGCAGCAGGGGCAGCCACCCCCTCTCCCCTGCACCCCTGGGACAGAGCCTGCCACCCCCTTAGAGGTAATATAGGTTTTCCCGACGAATTTCGGCAAAAGTCCATTCAAATTCGGCAGCGGCTGTTTCAATTTCGGCGGGTGACTTTAGATTTTGGCATTCGTCGTTTCAATTTCGGCAGGGCAAGGGAATATGTTGTTTCTGGTAATTAACATTAGAATGAGGAATAGGGAAGGAAAGGGCACAAATGCAGAGGGTATTTGTGGCAAATGATCATTATTCAATCTGGGACCGAGGCTCGTTTGTGGGGTCTAGCATTATCCATGATGCCATAAACCGGTTGATCTGGTGATGAAATCATGTGTACATGTCTCTTGAGCTCCTCAAAGAATTCCTGGAATGTCAACGATGTGATGCGTTCCTGTTATTCCTTTGAAGTAAAAGATTATTCCAAGCATGGAAATGAACATGAACGCTTCCTACGTGGAGTACTCAGATCAAAGAGCAGACAATTTCGAATATTCAGTTCCAGTATGTCATCTTAGATAATGCTAGACCCCACAAATGAGCCTCAGTTCCAGATGACTTTCCTAATGTGCACGTGAAGTTTCTGCTGGCATATTCGCCTTAAATTCCTGAATCCGACAAGACATGCCTGAATCACCCATTAGAAGTGCTTTGTGTAGTTTCACCATGCACAGACATACTTGTCAGATGCCTAAGGAGAGAACTTATCAATGGGTAGAATCAGTGTCAATGTCCATGTGTTTTCCTTTGCATAGTAAAATAATGATTCACAAAAAAAATATCCAATGCGTTTGTGTCCTTTCCTTCCCTTCCCTAATTCTCAGACTCATTAATTCCCAAAAGAAGAGATTCCCTTGCGCTACTGAAATTGAAACGGCGAATGCCGAAATAGAAAGTTACCTGCTGAAATTGAATGGAAAATTCGGGAGGAGATAGGAGCGCTGCCGAAATTGAATGGGAAAATGGGAAGGAGACAGGAGAATTGCCAAAATTGAAACGGCCGCTGCTGAATTTGAATGAACTTTTGCCTAAATTCGTTTGGAAAACCTATACTTTTATCTCCTGATATCGTTCGGGTGGGGTTTGGCTCTGTTGCCCTGCCTAACATGTGAAGTGCTCTCTACTTTTACTGATGGTCAAGGTACTTTCTGTTGCACGAACTTCAGCATCTAACTTGATAAAGCATGTCTAGATTAGCCTACCAGTGCTTTTTTACCAGTGCTCAGTCTTTTTATGCTCTTCATGCAGAAGCATCACAAAATAAGCTTGCATGCTATGTAGCCTTATTTGATACATAACCTTTTGTGACGATGTAGTTTTATCTTCTGGCTCAGTTGGAGTCCTTGATAAATGAGAAGGTAATATACAAAAGTAAGTTGTGGTTTCCTATGCACTCATTTATATCCCCTCCCATCACTGCAAATTTGAGGCAGTTTGCTTATGCACAAAAATCAAGGTTACAGTCAATCCTTAATGACTGTCACTGTTTGGACTGTGTAATTTAATTTTTTTCATGAATGCTATCAGTTTAAATTGAATTTAGGAAAATGTAGCATGTTGCTTTTACTTGTGAGCTATATATAATGTGATGGATATACATGGACAGAAGGAAAAGCCCTTGACCAGCCAGCCCAGCAACCTTGGAAATCCTCCTACAGGAATCCTGATATTATTGTAAAGTGCTGGGCAGATTAGGGGGGTCCAGGCAGAAGAAGGCTATAAAGGAAAAGAAAGTGAAGCTCTAGGCTAGATTTTTGACGCTGTTCGACTGGTATTGTCAGGGGTGTACAGCCAGCCTGGAGCATCAATAGCTATTAAAACCTGTTTCTGCAGTCAACCTAACATGTCAGGAATATTAGATAGAACTTGGAAGTACTCCCCATTCCAAGGACAACCTCAGCTGAAGTCTCTCTGCACATGCCATCGTCTGCTAATGATTAGCTCAGAATGTCTCACAACAAAGCTACTCAAAACAGGCTATAGGCCAAGCATCCAACAGATGATGTTCAGCATGTACAGAGATGATGATGTCCAAATTGTCCCTGTCTCCCTGGTGAGAGGAGCCTTATTCTCACATATGGACATCTGTAGATTGACCTAAAGCTTTTAGTAACTTGTCGGGGTGACAAGTTACTAAAAGCTTTCATCCATCAGGAAAACAGTAAACAGGATGTGAAAGAAACTCAATCACTGGTAAAAAAAAAAAAAATTTTTGCTTCTTATGAAGTAAAAAACTTCATAAGAAGCAAAAATTTTTAGTCAAATATCATACTTCAGTGGGGGAACTGAATATTTCATTTTTACAATAATGAGGACTTGGTTTTGAACTTGTAGACAGGCTTGGATTATGGCAAAAACTCTATATTCTCAGTGATTTAAAAAAAAATGGTGGCTGAGTTTCTTCAATGTAAAAAAATAAAGAATATATTCTTTATTTTAATGGATTACTGTATAATCAAGTGTGGATGAACTTCCAGGTTTGTGCTCGCCATCTCTCGAACATTCCCGACATTCATGGTTTTGGCCTGGGTCTACACTGCTGCCATGATAATTCGATCAGTTGTGTACGAGAAGGAGCAACGATTGAAGGAGACTATGCAGGTGATGGGCCTCAGCCGGGAGGTCCATTGGGTTGCATGGTTCCTCACTTCCTTTGTCTTGCTTGCCTTGTCTGCCCTTCTTCTCTCACTTGTTCTTGTTGTTAGTCCCATTCCTTCTCTTGTGCAATGAATTTCATTTTGTGCAGATCATGGCATGAAATTTCTCTCATAGTATGGGAACGTGACCGAGAATTCAGATCCCCTGGTGATCTTTGTTTTCATCCTTTGTTATGGAGTGGCAACCATCTGCCTCAGCTTTCTCATCTCTTGCCTCTTTGGTCGAGCCAACACTGCTGCTGCTGCTGGTGGAATGATTTTCTTTTGTCTCTTCCTTGGCTATCCATTCCTTGTCATTTGGAATGAAACTCTTGAAGAATATCAGAAGCTGCTGCCTGTGAGTCAAAATTCTCTGACACTCTCAAGAAGCATCAAGAAGCAGTGATAGTCATGGAATTCCTGAATTATTTTGCAGTGCCTTATATCCAATGTGGCATTTGGATTTGGCTGTGGTCACTTGGCCAACTGGGAGCAGGCAGGTATTGGAGTCCATTGGAATAACATATTTACCCCATCATCAACTGGAGATGACACTAGCCTGGGAATCATCATGTTCCTGCTTCTTCTGGATGGCATTATCTATATATTGCTTGCCTGGTATCTGGAGGGTGTGTTTCCTGGTGAGTGCATGCTCATGTTGGCATCTTTCTGCCTTTTGGGTAGGCTAACTATATGAGGCTGAATATTCAAGAAATTTCTATGTGCATGGGTAGGAAACTATGGTGTGCCCTTGCCATGCTGCTATCCATTCATGCCTTCCTACTGGAGGCAAACATCAAAGGAGCCATCAGAAGTGGAAAGACTTGTGGCTGGTGAGGAAGGTGAGTCGAGTAACACTATTGGAGTGGATGATTTCAGTAACTGAGTAATATTGCTAATGGTGGAGCACTCTGCTGAAGCAAAAGCTGCAGCTCTGGAGCAGATTTCTCAGTGGGTTTTTTACCTCATAGGCTTTATGTTGCCATTAAAGGGATCAATAGAGAATGCAGTCAGTTGCTTTAGTATTTTATTGACTGAACTTAGTCAATATGCACCATAACTGCTTGTCATGTGTGGACATCATACACATGGGCAGAATTGAGAGCAGTCCTCTGTACCATCCTGGGACCATTGTGTCCTATGTGAGCATTTAAGCTTTATGGTAACATTGAATTTAGCACAGCAGCAGGAGCACTTAATGACTAAATGCTCATAATGACTCTGAGTCCCAGCTTTGGCCCCTCCATTTTGATTGGTATGACTCTTGAAAATAAAGTGGAGCTTTATCTTGTCTTTATCCTCACAGTCTTATGTGAACCAGATCCAAAAACTTTGAAATGTGGAGTTGTTGTGCAAAACCTGAGGAAGGTGTATGAGGATGGGAAGTTGGCTGTAGACAACCTCAACCTCTCATTCTATGAGGGACAAATCACAGCTTTTCTTGGTCACAATGGTGCTGGTAAAACCACTACAATGTGAGTGGGGTTCTTTCATGTGAATGTACTTAATGGCCAAAAGGATTTTCCATCTATGTTCATTTTGTTGACAGTTCTATCATGACTGGTCTGATCCAACCAACGTCTGGAACGGCCACCATCTATGGACGTGACATTTGCACCGACATGAAAAACATCAGACATTCCATGGGTGTTTGTCCTCAGCACAACGTTCTCTTTGACCTGTTAGCATCTTCTGTTCTAGTTCAAGTCTTCATTTCCTTTAGTTTTCCATATCTAATTCTCAGTTGCCCTTCTAGGCTGACAGTCTGGGAGCATCTCATGTTCTATGGATGCCTGAAAGGGAATGCATGGCCTGAGGTGGAGAAGTTGGCCGAGAAGATGCTCCATGATCTGGGGATTCCAGAAAAACGGGATGCTCTTTCCACTGATTTATCTGGTGGGATGCAGCGGAAGCTTTCAGTTGCCATAGCTTTCCTTTCTGAAAACAGGTAGGCATGTTATGTAAGTCATTGGAATAATTTTAAATCTTATACTGGTCTCCAAAAGTTGTAGTTTCTTATTATCAAATTCTCTGAAGTATGAGGAATAACTCAATTAAAGGCTTACGCTAAAGGGTATCATATTATCTTGTCTTGGTAAAGCCATCTTTAAGTGTATGAAATGTACCATTATCCTTTCAAAATCAGCCTGGGAATTTATCATTGTTTAATTTCAAACTGGTTAATAGCTTGAGCATAATTATGGCAATTGTTATAGAAGAAGTTCTGAAGGTTTTCAGTTTGCAAAGTTGGAAAACTATACAAGGTGGATTCTGGAGTAAGAGATGGATCAGTGATGGCAAATTTAATACAATTGGCAGTGCTAATGTGCATTTTCTTGTATGATGCTCGAAGAGCAGTAAAATGTAAGCATGAAGAAATGTTGCAAGACTTTTGAACTTTTCTCTTAGGGCGGTACTTGTTATTGATGCCCAGCCAGGCAGCAGTTACCCATCTGCCAGTCTCTATTTATTAAAAGTTATGGAATGAAATACACTCTTTCTGTGCCTAGTCTCCTGTAGGGAGAAGGGGATTTCATCCAGTCAGAGACTGTGTACTAACTGCAGTTGCCATACCTACATGCTTCCTTTGCACCAAATTTAATTACTCATTTTTCATACCTTCAAAGTATGTTTTGGGAACCTAAATGTCCATCTTTTCCTGCATCAAAGTGGGTGAAACCCTGCTTTCTGCTTTTGCTGAGACAAAGTAAGAAAGAAGGGGCCAATGTAAGTGGAACAAACCATAGGCACTAGAAGTGCAGTTGCTGCCAGTCATAGCATGTAACAGTAGCCTTCATTCACTTGCAAGTATTGGCACCTGGTGTTTTTCATTTGATATTCCACATTTTCTTAGGACTGTCTTCTTGGATGAGCCAACATCAGGTGTGGATCCTTTTTCACGGAGGGCCATATGGGAGCTCCTTTGCCGTTACAAGAAAGGTGACACCATCTTCAGCATCACCAAGAACAAGTCACTTCTCATAAGAATCTACTCACTTTATCTTCCTTCGATCCAAATAGGTCGTACTGTGATCCTGACAACTCATCACATGGATGAAGCTGAGATCCTTGGTGATCGGATAGCCATCCTATCCCAAGGCAAGCTCAAATGCATTGGTTCTCCATTATTCCTCAAAACTGCCCTTGGGTCAGGATACACTCTTCGTTTGGTCAGGAAACAACAAGTATGGGAATCACCCATTTATTGTGCTTCACTATAGTGTTTGGTCATAGTTGAAATTTTGATATTTTGGTTTTCTTCCAGAGCATGGAAGACTCAGCAGAGGGCAGGTTCCTCAATGCTGCTGCTGCTGAAAGTGAGTCATCAATATTATGTAATTTCATTTCACTTTTCAATTCACTCATGAATATCATTGAACCCTAAGTTGATGTTATTTTAAAAAAAGGGTAAGTTAGTTATCTGCCATTCCCATAGGGACCTTTAGGAAAATGGCAGATATGTGATTGGTCTGTCACTTGCTTTTTATTTTTTCATTCTGTCTGTCTGAACTTTCCATAATAACCAGACAACTCAACTAAGTGCACGTGCAGCCTTCAGCCTGGGTCTTGAGTGCCAGCCTGCAACTAAAACTTCCATTCCTCTTCTGCTCTTGTGGATGACAATTCATAGTAGTCAAAGGGACAGAGCTGCTGCTTATGACAGCATAGCCAGGGTAGCTGGGCATGTAAATAATGTAATGCATTATTTTCTTGATGGCAGACTCAATTTCAGAAAGTAATGAGCACAAAATTCATCCTTGCCATCACTGAATCATTTATGAAGCTGAAAGCACAGTTCAAGTGCAATACACCCCAACCAACCAGTGCCACTGTGGAGAGGCTATTTATAGTAAGTATGGCATTTTCACCTTCACCCTTTAACAGAGAATTTCTCATGTCAGCTTTGAGAGAAGTTCCTTTAAGAGCATACTTAACACATGCAAGTGCATGCATACTTGTAACTCTGAGAGAGCTTCAGCAAGAGTTTTTTGCACCCTCTCATGAAAACACAGAGTTCTATTTCTTGGGAGTACTCTCAAGGACATGAGTCATCTATAGAGAGGATTCCTCATACTGAGCATCTTTCGTGGTTCTACACAGCATGTGTAAACTTTCCCCGAGATGCAATACTATGCTAAGATGGATATTACTGTCACTAAACATACTGATGCTAGAATGAAGACCAGTTTCATGTCAACAGAGCTTAGGGAAAGTAACTTGAAAACTAACTTGTATGGTTTTCAGAAGGCTCTGGGTTTATGAAGACCCATTTATTTTCAGACATTGAACTGTAACCCTGGAGTCACAAATGAATGCACCCAGTAACTAATTAATTACTTATAGGATGGAATACTTTTAATTGTAACTCATTACTTTTCTCATGTGATGCTCCCAACACTGCTGGTACTTTCTGTTAATTATATGGTTAGTCCACACTCCACCTATGCATTTCCATGACTCATGTTGAAAAGTTGAGTCAAACTTCATGGAATTCAAGCTTTCATGATGTGTTGCCTTTTCATGCAGTTTCTTGGTCTTACCCAGTGTAATTATTTTGGCATTTGTGGCATCTTGTAACCCAGAAAGTATTGCTATGAGTTGATGTAACAATTCTGGTGGTGAATGTGGTTGGTTGTTTCAGACCTATGTAAATCAAGATATACAATCCAATTTAAGACCACTAAAATGGCTGATGTACTTTAGTCAGGATGCCTCTGAAAGGGCCAAAGGGCATGATTTTATAACCCTTCTGAATCCAGTGGAGGAGAATGAGGATATTTAGGCTTTAAATTTGAATAGTTAGTCCTGTTCCTTTCATCATGTACATTGGGATATAGAAGCAGCCATGATAACTCAATGTTACTCTGATTTTTGTGGCTAGTGAGTTTGTCAGGTAGACGTTGATATAAGAAATGATATGACAGCAATGTAGGAAAAATATGTTTTCTTCCCGCAAACCTGAGGCGACAAATCGGAATTTCCCTGCAAGGATATGCAAGCAAACTAAGCGGGTCGGGCCGGCCCCGTCGGCCTGCGCGTGCCCCCTGCCACCTTCCTCCTCCCCCTCATGTTATAAAAGAAATATGTATGTAAAGAAATCAAGAGTGGTATTTCACTGCTAGGTCCTCCATGGATAAAAAGTTGGACGGGAGAATTCATGAAGGGAAACTATGAATGTCTCTTATTTTTCTTCTTCTTAGTCATTCAGGTAACAGACTTAGAACTAAAGGCGAGTGCATGAGTGATTTCCGCCTCATGATCATGAGAAAGAAACCATGTTGTCCAAACCCTTGATTCAATAACATTTGAGAATCGCGGCCATGTGCGATCATTGCGACTGTTAATTGAACTCTCGCAAAATCACGCGTGATCCCTCGTGAGTTGTTTCATGCAGGGGAGTTGGCTCTTCCTTTCCCCTTAACAAATTTTATTTAAAAAAATACTCAATTCAGATAGGCCTTGTGTATTGAGAAATAGGAAATAGAACAATAAATTTTTGGTAGCCGTATCACACTTGATACACGTGGTTTTTACATATTCCCAAGTTCTCGCACAGAAAATCATGTCCAAGTTTTCAGGTGATCCTGTTACCTTACAGATGGTCATGCAATGGCTGAACTGAGGAAATCGGCAATCAGACAACAAATAAGAGGGAGATTAAATAATTGTTTCGGTTGCTCCATAGCGTCAGGCAAAAAAAAATTACAATCATGATGAGTGCCTTTGCAGAACCTTAGCCCGAGTAATAACTCAAAGAAAGTCACGCGTGAAAAGGTACTTTTTACTAACGAGTCTGGAAGAAGATGAACTACGGGTGGAGTTTATACATTTCATCGGATGCGTTTTCCATCACCATTAGCCCCTGACATCATGCTACCCATTTATAGGCACAGGTGTGGAAAGATGGAGAGCGTAAAGACAAAGAGGGAATGGAAGTGATAGGAGTCAAAGTATGCTTCTGACCGTTTTACGCAAGAAATTGCAGAATATGCTGCTTAAACTCTGCTGTTGGAAGCCTTGCCTTCTTCGCATAGTTCAATTCTTCACAAATAATTCCAGCTTTTTTATATTCTCATTATCTTATGTGATGAAGTAAAATTTCAGAATTCCAGGTACTAGTACAATGAAGTCATACATTCAATTGTGCTTCACGAAGCATATTCGAGTTGAAAACTGAGAATTGGGTGATCCTAATTCACTAGATCGAGCCTCAACCACTTGACGACATGCAAAATAGGGCAGAGGGCTTCATGTTAAATTCATATTCTCGTTAGCCTTCAGTGAATAGGGCTGCAGGCTTCACAGTTAAGGCTCCGATCGTATTAGGGAAATGAAAAGATAACTGTCGTTCCACGATGGGAAGAACCCAAAATATAGATGTTTTGACTTGAAAATCTCGTTTACTACCAGTGTACGACGAAATGCCGAATCCCAGTTCGCCGAATTCCATTTTGCCTTATTACATGAATGTGGAATGTTTGAAATGCCTAAGAGCTAAAATGTAGAAATACAAAATGCCGAATGCTAAAAATGCCAATAAGACATTTTATTTCACGGTGTTAAATGGAACGTAGAAATCAACTTTGTCGGAGAATGCAGTCATCACAACTAGGAGCTAAATTGGGCACTTGTGAGGTGAGATCAAATAAGCTTATGGCCGTTCTTTAATTTCATAGTCGCAGCGTTGTGAGCTACAGCCCTCAAGTAAGTTATTTTGTAACAAGTTCCATAGATCTCATCCACACGCTTGTTACGAGAGTCCTTCCATATTTCATTTTTCTCCTCTTTTTAGGGGGGTGGCCGACTTCCAAGCGTTGAATCTCACGCCTAGTGGACACCCTCGAGTTCACCTCGCTTCAATAATATTCGTGGAAGAACAAGACAATTGGCATTGTTTCTGCTGGCATGGCACTCAAAAGTGGCAACAACATATGCTAGAACAAAAGCAAGGGTCAAAATCATTAGAATACAGATTCGTTATTGACTTCACATTCACCTATCCGTCTGGGTTTTCGGCATTTTTTTTTTAGAGATAAGGTTATTGTTGGTGTAGTCAACATTCGGCGAACTGAGGGATTCGACATTTCTGTTCGTTGACATTTTTTTATCCATCGCTGTTACGCACATTCGTTGCATTCGGCTTTTGGCATTTCGTTCTAGACCCGTTTACTACCCTCATCCTGCCGTTGCACTTTCCCTTGCCCTACCTCCTGAATGAATATTTTTTCTATCTCTTTTCACCTATTCCTTCCCATCATATTTCTCGGGAAAAGGCATTTCCATTCCTGCAAACCTCGTCTGCTTGTTCGCAAGGGTTTTTCTAGCCTGTATGACAGTATTCAGCAAAGCTATATTTTTCATACCAGCTTACAGATTATAAGTAAAAAGAGGCATCCTGACCTAGTGAGAACAATTATTTATTACTGAATGCTTGAGGTGATAGAAGAGAGCAGGGTTTTTATTTTGATGTGTGTTTGCTTTCCTCTGAAGCAACATGTGTTCCTAGTCCTAACAATACATTTGACATGTAGTCTGCTTATCCATGTGAGAGTACATTGCATGGACTGTGGTTGAAAATGGAATTATGATGTGACAATCATTCACTGTTTTTTTTCTGTAATCCAGTTGCTGATGAGCAGTTGACTGAGTTCTTGAGAAAGAACTACCCAGATGCACAACTTGTGGAAAAAGTTGGACTTGAAATTATATATCTCCTACCTTGGAACAAAAATCGAATCCTGCAACAACAGGAAAGCCTGAGAGGTCAGTGTCCCACTGCAGGAAGTGGAAATCTCCCCTGGTTTGGGCAAGGTTGGCTAGATTCTTTATATAGGTGTTTATGTCCAGTATTGCACTGATGCAAGCACTTATGCAAAATTTGGCAATACCCTCTTCTATGAGTGCCATGGTTGAGTTGGTGCAGAGTCCAAACATCAAGAGCTATGATAATGCCTAGGAAAAAAGTTATATTTAATTTTAACCCATTGCACTCCACTGTCATGCCCCACACAACATGAACAGCACAGTGATGGCATATGGGGTACAACAGTGGAGTGCAAAGGGTTAAAAGGTTAGTGTTAATGAAGGATGCCTTAGGCTGATGCTACTGTGTGAATAATACTAATCCTTAGCAGTTAATACAATACCAGATCATCTGAAATGGTAGTGTAACAGGTGTCTTCAGGAGAAGGATTCAGGTGCTTGCCATGATATGTTAGATCATTTCAATTCTATGTTTCTTTCTGTTGCATTTTTTTAACCTCACAGACTTTACCTGAAAGAATGGCAAGAAAAAAAAGTTTCCAACAAATATCCAATTCTGCAATTTTTATTCAGTTGCTCTGAAGTAAAGTGGCTATTGTCAGGTTGAAATTTAACATGCACATCAGATGAATAAGTCCTTTCTAAGATCAGTTTGCCACATCTTGGATAAACTAAAATCTATGCTTGTCACCCATGTTAGAGCACCCAATGCCATGAACCTTCCTTGATCCCCTCCTGGTGTTTCAGAGAGCTGAGTACACTCTAACACCCAAAGTTTAGGATTAGATTGCACCCACTTTTACTCATTATTAACCTTTGCAGGCTCAGTGAGGAACCCAAAAATGGAGCGAGAAGACATGAAACGACTCTATTCCCTCCTGCTGGCATTAGATGAGAACTTGAATGAATTGGGCATTTCAAACTATGGTATCTCAGATACCAAGCTTGAGGAGGTATTTTATAAGAACTTTCAAACTTTTATTCATTCTTTAAACATAGGTTTGAAGAAAAGGAATCTTTTGCAATCAATCATGCAGGTGTTCCTCAAGATTACTCGGCAGGATGAAGAGGAAGAGGATGTGACAGAACAACATAATGGCTGCATGCAGGTTAATGGGTGTTTGAGTTTCTTATCACCTCAAGATACTCAAGCTAACACTTCATTGGCAAGGCCCAAAGCATCCATAGCACAGGCTGATGGAAGGCTGGATTCATCACATGATCAAGAGCCACCCACTCCCATGAGCTTTCAGAGTGCCTTCTCAGAAACCCCATTTGAAACCCCACCATCTGGAAGCCCTGAGTCCCATCAAGTAGCCAATCATGTCACTCCAGGAGCATTTGAGGGCAATGGATCTGGAATACAGCCCTCTTTCTCATCTTTGCCAGAGGTGCGCATCATGTCAGGGCTTGGGAAGTCTTCCAATTCTGGTTGGTTTTATTTAAATTTTTAATTTGGACTGTTTTCATGTACAGCATGCTTTGAATTTTGTCTGGATTATTTGAAAATCACAGTTTCCCAGATGAAGTCAGGGGCTGAGCTGAGACGGGCACAATTTCTGGCTATTGTTGAAAAGAGGTTTCACCATTCCAGAAGGGATTTCAAGACCCTATTCTGTCAGGTTATTAATAGTTTTCTCATTCTCCGTCATCCTGTTACCCCTCAACCCCCTCAACTGCTCCAGGTTGACTTGTCTGGTTTTTTGTTTTTCATGCAGCTTGTTTTACCAGTGCTGTTCATCACATTGGCATTGATCTTCACACTTCTCCTCCCACCCTTGGGGATTTTGCCAGCCCTGGAAATTCATCATTGGTATTATCAGGAGCCAAATTACGTCTTCTTTGCAGAGGGGGAGAATTCTCTCTTGAAGAACCCTATAGTTGATGAAATGGTCTCCCGTGTTGGGATTGGAGCCAGGTGTCTGCCAGGAGATCCAGTCTGGTAAGTATTGAGCTAAATTTGCTATATCAAAAGTCACTTTACAATTAAAATTTCTACCCCACCCTCTCCAAAGGAATCTCCACTGCTTTAGCTCTAGCTGATACAGGATCTTTTCCTCTCTGAATGTGACCTACCCTATTTGATGGTAATGGCATGATCCATACCATTGGAAAACAGTCTTTTTGCTACTTTCTAATGTCATGTAATACACCATCACCACTGAATAGTGTTATTAGAAATGAAGGTTTCTAATTTGGGTGGGGATATTGTGCTTTCAACTCATTGTTCATCAGAACTTGAGAATTCCTAGTGTTGGGGGGTACTGAGTAGGTGGTATACTTGAGATGACATTACAATCTTTATGATGTTCTTCTGCACCAGCAAAGCTAGAATGAAGGTGTTCATTCCACCTCTTGTCTCATGTCTTATGGGTCCTCTAGTTGGAAATCAGGAATGTCATAATTGTCTTAAAATTTCTATCCCCACTATGAGCAGTGAGCAAGAAGAAGAGACTATACTAGCTTGAGAAGAATTTGCTCTTGAGAGGGTATATTTTGATGCTTTCTTATGTGACTATATTGTATCTTTCATCCTACAGGGACTATCAGTGCGAGAGCAGAGCAGATCTGGATTCAAGCATTTTGTCTAAGCCCCTCCCACCTGTCTATGAGGATGTCAACTGTTCATGTGCGATAGGTAGCCTGATGTGTCCAGAAGAAGCAGGTCTTCCCTCTCCCCCGGAACTCCACCTTCACACCTCTGACTTTCTTCTGAATCTCACTGGAAGAGATGTATCTCAGTATCTACTCTGGACACATGAGCGATACCGAAAATTCATGTTAGAATTAATCACCAGTTGACACATCATATATATTTTAGTGTGCAGAAACACTATAGGTCCTTATTGCTCTTTATTTTTTGCTTAAAGAAAATTTATAAATATTGTACAAGGATTTTAGCTAAAGTCTCTCCCATGATTTCTTACAATAATTCTTAAGAATAGCTTCATTGAAAGAAGTTGGTACAATTTTGAATATTTTCCAATTTTGGTAAAATATCAAAGGAAGTCATACTTCAAACTGAATGGGATATCACCCCCTAATATTATATCTTATTGCCACTTATGGGAGCTTAAGGGTGATTGATTCTATGAGGTTAAATTAACCTATTTCAAGAACTGCTCCTATGAAATGCTTGGTTCATGTAAGTGCAATACAGTAACCTTATTCACCTCAGAGATTGCCTTGTAACTCATGACCTAGTAAGAATTTAAAGCTCCTCATTATCAGGGTGAGATGTAACTAAGTTGCTGCCTAGATATATAGTATGACCACATCCTACGTTTTTTGTGATAAGCAAAAGAGAATTACAAGAAGACCTATTAAAATATATCATGGGATCATGGAGAGATGTTAAGAGAGGAAAAACATATGATTCTTAACTACCAGGCCTGTTTCATAGAGGAAGGAATATGAACTGTTTTTTCAGCCATTTTATACAGGCCATTTTGTTTTCAGGTATGGGGGCTTCTCATTTGATGAGCCAGCATCTCACCACCTGGAAGAGCCTTCCCAGCTCCCTGTATTTATAGAGGACCTGCACAAGAATTACAGCCTTCTGAATGCATCCACAGCAAAATCTGCCTTTGAGGTTGCATGCTTGATTGAGGGACTCTTGATGGGTATCACACCTGGGGTTGACACCTCTCAATTCAGTTGTGATACTTCCAGAGTTACTTCTCTTCCTTCTGAGTACATAAAGGTCTGTCATCAATCCCTACACCTAGTTAAAGGATTGTCAATTTTTTCAAAGAATCTGCAATGCATACTTGTTACTCCTAGGTCTGGTTCTACAACCAGGGATACCTGTCCCCAATTGCATTCATGAATGCTATCAACAATGTTGTCCTTCGTACACTGGTAGCGAAATCCAGATCCTTGAACTCTTCAGCAGCAGAGAACTTTGGTATCTCTGTTTACAGTCACCCTATTCTCACTGAGAGCTTCCAAGAGTTGGAAATGATGTGAGTCTCATTGATGCTGCATGCATTTTCCATTAATTTCTCTCATGATTTTAGTGATACTGATGAGCTAGATTTGTTTTCTGTAGAAAACGTTCAGGGCGAAATCTTCTCCATGCCATTGTGGTCATCTTTGCCCTGAGTTTTATCCCTGCTGCATTTGTGGTGATCTTGATTGAGGAACGGATATCAGGATCCAAACACCTCCAATTTGTAGCTGGCCTTCCTGCCTGGCTCTACTGGGCTGCTGCCCTCATTGGTGACCTTGTGTGTGACTCCCAAATCAATTCCCTGGACATCAAATAATCACATATTTTATTCAATAAGAATGGATTTTCTGTTTGCAGCTTTCATATGCTTTCTCAGCTCTACTTTGTGTCGTTGTGTTTCTCATCTTTGATGAAGATGCCTACGTGAGTGAGACAAATCTTCCGGGTCTTGTAGCTCTTTTCTTGCTCTATGGGTGAGCCAACTTTCTTGAAGTCTCTGAAGTAGCATATATTTGTTTTTTTTTTCATGAGTTTTTCATTATTCTGTTTGTTAGCTGGGCTTCCATTCCTCTAATGTACCCAGCATCATTCTACTTCCGCACACCTAGTGCTGCCTTTGTAGCACTTGCTTGCTCGAACTTATTCATCGGGATCATCACCACCATTTCCACCTTAGTCTTGGAAGTTCTGGAGGAGTTGGTGAGTATTCCACTCATGTTACTTAGAGCACACTTTTAATATATAGTGCTTAAAACTGCTGCAATAAAAAATGTTCCTTAAACCTTGAATCAAGTTCATCAAGATCTATGGAATTCCTTGTAGGATCTGAGAGATATAGCTGATATCCTGAAGAAGGTGTTTCTCATCTTTCCTCAATACTGTCTGGGAAGAGGGTTAATGGATCTTGCCACTGCAGCACTTGTGAAAGATGCCTTTTCCAAAGTTACAGGGGTATTAGGTAAGTTTATTGCCTACCCCCTTCATCATTTTTCACACCTCTCCAGATGCACTTGCTGAAGGCTTCCATTCCTGTTCCATTCCTGTTTCTTAGGTCCAAAAACATTTGCTATTCCATCAACATGTGAACGAGTCTTCGAGTGGAAATGCATGGGACAGAACTTGACCTTCCTGGGCTGGCATGGTTTTCTCGGGATCCTTTTGGTACTCCTGATAGAGTACCGCAGCAGAGTCTTTTCTTGGTGCTATTCCTGTTGTACACATTGCAATGAGAAAGAAGACATATTCCTGTCAGAATTAGACATCCCAGAAGATGAGGATGTTGCTGAGGAAAGGAAGAGAGTCCATGCTAGCAATGATGATGAAGTCCTTCGCATTGTTGACCTTATCAAGGTTCATCATTCCATTTCATTATCAGAATCTTTAAAATGGCATTGTGAGATTTTCAAATTTAGCTTCATAAATTCTCTAGGTCTACCATAGAACCAAGAAACCTGCCGTGTACAAAATTTGTTTGGGAGCAATCAAAGGCCAATGCTTTGGTCTCTTGGGTGTCAATGGGGCAGGCAAGACCACAACATTCAAGGTCAAGCCTCAATCTTTCCTACCACTTGCACCTATGGGTGAAGAGCTACAAATGAATGGATCCCTTCCATGTCCATCAGATGCTGACAGGTGACATCAGTGTGACGGCTGGGGAGGCCTTTGTTGATGGATTCAGTATCACCAAGGACTTGAGCTCTGTCCAGCAGCGCATTGGCTACTGTCCTCAGTTTGATGCCTTAGACCCATTGCTCACTGCTCGAGAGCATCTTAGACTCTATGCCAACTTAAGAGGCTTTCCTTCTGACGAAATCCATGAGGTAGAATTTCATATTTATGGAGTTAAGTTCCAGTTGGAATCAAATGGGAAGTTGATGTGCTTTCTGATTCTATAGCTGACTGAAGGGTTGATACATAGAATGAACCTGTGGATGCATGCCTCTCGTTGTGCTGGAAAGTACAGTGGAGGCAACAAGAGAAAACTCTCAACTGCCATCGCCCTTGTTGGGAATCCCCCTGTCGTCTTCCTGGTGCGCTCCACCCTGCACTTAAGTTTACTGTAAATCTTTTCTAAAGTTCATGAATGAAGTTATGAATTCTAGGATGAGCCCACAACTGGGATGGATCCAGGGGCAAGGCGGTTCCTCTGGAACTGTGTTCAGGGAATGATCAAGGAGGGGAGATGTGTGATCCTCACATCTCACTCCATGGAGGAATGTGAAGCTCTATGTGCCCGACTAGCCATCATGGTCCAGGGCCAGTTTCGATGCCTTGGATCCACTCAGCATCTCAAGCACAAGTACCAAATTCTTTTCATTGCAGTCAACCTCTTCTACACCCTTTTCAAAAGCAGCAGCAGTGCAGGAATTGATGCATTAAATTTTTCTTAAACATAGATTTGGGTCTGGATACACCATTAGTCTGCATGCAGATCAGGAGCACATCTCACAGGTGGAGCAGTACATCAGTGAGAATTTGTTGGGGGTGACTCTGCATGAGAAGAATCCATCCCGTCTTGTGTATCATCTCCCCCTTCCTCCAGAAGGTCCTCCACTTGCCAAAGTCTTCCGCTGCCTTGAAGACTCCCGCCTCAAGGCTGGTGTCACAGATTATTCTGTTTCACAGACCACTCTTGATGAGGTATTCTGCCCTTTCTACATAAGGGAATGAAGATGACTGATGATGTTGATGTGTCATTGTCATTTTGTGAACTTCTACTTCTGCAGGTGTTTGTAAGATTTGCTTCTGACCCAAGATTTAGCTCTGAGGAGAAGCAGTCTGAGTGGAAACTCTTCAAAAAGAGTCTTGCTATTAATGGACTAAAACACAAGCAGAAAGGTTAGTTCCTTTTAACTCAAATGTGAAGAAGAAAGTTGTAGCCCTCCATTTTTGAAGCATCTTTTCATCATGCTCCTTGCAAAGTGGGGTGGATATTGACCCCAAATTGAAATCACAATATCCTCTGATGAAATTGAACATAAAAAAACCATATTGAAATATACATGACCCGGCTGTTGGCCAACCAAAGGAAATTCATGTAGGAAGTTCTTGCCCAGATATTGTGCAATCAATGCCCACCATGGATTTTGTAAGAGGCCCACCAACTTGAAGCAATATTTGCTATGATTGCGTTTCTCTTCTTTCTTCATCACTGCTTCTATGTTGCATTCCAAGGTATCTACTTGTGGGGATGTAGTCCTTAGATGATGAGCTAATCCTTAGTGATCTGATTACCCACATGAAACACATCAATAACTAACATGCTATATCTTCAATGGGCACATCAGCTTTTCTGCATATGGTCTTCCCCAAGGCTTTACTCTTGTATCTTGCCACATCATCAAGTAGTCATCTTAGGAAGAATACCAGAAGAGATTAAATGTAGTTTTCATTAGAATTAAAATAACTGTTGCTTATCTGGGGTCTATACAAACACAGACTTTGCAAATGGAGGATAAATTTCATCTCAGCAAGTTTTAATTTTCTCTATCCAGGTGTTTGTGTTGAATTTTATTGTTTTTTTTTTCTATAGGAAAACTGAAGACAGATGACTTGCAGAACCTTGAGACTCTGGATGAATCAAAAGTATGATGATCGAGTGATGCTTATATGTACCATAAGTACACTTATTGTTATATTTCTTCCTTCAGTCTTGTCAGGCCTTGGTTCATTTTTTCTTACTTTCTGTGGTGTATGCCAAAAAAGTTTGCAGAAAAGGCTAGTATGTGATATGGGCCTCTAGCTCAAAGGCAGGGTAAAAGAGAATTTTATATGCCAGCTAACAGCATAGTGTCCCAGTGATCATCTCGTGATCAACATACACACTTCTGTGTGATCTAGACTTTTTTTTCCCATGGTAGATCATGATTTGAGTACCTAATCTATTATTTATATGGAATTTTCCACTGGAAATGTCACCAGACCACATCCGTGATTGTCCTGAGTATTGTTGGTCATTTATGATGAGTTTCACTTGAGGGAGGTCTGCATACAGAATCTGTTTACATGTTTGCTCTCTCCTGTTATCTCTGTGATGGATCATTGGAGTAAGAATTTGAACAAAGGGTAATATTCCCTCATATTTATAGGCCAAAATAAATCATTTGTTATTTCTGCTTTGTTCTTATTCCTATGTTATGGTGATTTTAATTTTATCATGGATTTTATGAGATGCATTGCTTTTCACCCCTGTTTGAATGTCCATTCTGTCATAAGTCCTTGATCATCATTAGTTTTGTGATTCGGGTTTGCTGTTTTTTGGCCTATGCTCTGAATACATAGGTTTGCATGATCATGCACCATGGTGAGCCTGCAGAATGAACACCATTGCTCATTGGACGTGTGCCACAAAGAATTTCTCAAGGAGTGCTGGTTCAACTGAACTTAGTGCTGTCTTGGGTGTTTGATTTTTGAATTATGAAAATATCCTTCCTGCTCAGATGATCTCTCCTGCCACCCTTTTGATGCTTAAGTCTCTTCTTGTGGATCTCACTCTGTTTATATTTGCACTTTATTTCTTGTGGCTGCCATGGCAGTAGGCTACCATGAATGTTTTGAAGCTTCTTGAGAACAGACAAATGTTGATTTAAAAACAGCAGTCCGGTTACAGTTCAGTCACATGTCAGTTCCAGTTTTAGTTTATTTGCAGTTCAAGTTGGAATTTCTTTTTGATAGAAGTCTGCAAATACACAGTGGAACTTCAGTTTAACCAAGTCCAATCAAACAAAAATCTAAACTGAAACTGCAACCAAACTGTGGTTTTAAAATCAGCCAAAGTGAAGGATTCAAATTCGGAGTCAAAGTTTGAATATTCTAAAAGAGGGAGTGAAGTGCATACTACTGAGTGTACTACTGAGGCTGTTGGATTGGCTGAATGAAGTAGCCATGATCAGTGTAGGCATTGCATACATGCATGAGGTGCATTCAAAAAGTTCTAGATTTTTTTAATGGGAGAGAGAGATATTCTTTGTGCTTTGGTACAGCTTCATGTTTTTGCTGCCTATTCTTTATTTTCATGTTCATTTGGTGGTATTTCTTATACAAAATAATGTTGATTTTTCTGTTCCATATAAAAGTGAAAATGGCTAAACACTGGGCTGTAATCTGTTTCATGTCTTTAAAGGAGGAGAAAAAACAGTAGGTATTCACAATGAAATGGTATATGCACACCATTGTGAATTATTAATACAATTTCTTAGTAAATTATTATTTATATAATATTAATATATACAACAAGTGAATCAATCCTGTGCTTATGTGCCCCCCAATGCCTATTTGCAGACTTCTTTGGGCAAATATTTTCCAGTAAGGCTGCATTGATTTTCCCAGTATGGTAAACTCACCCTTAATTTAAAGTTGCTGCTACTTTCCAAAAGTAGCAGCAACTAAAATGTAATTTGATTGGTGACAAGTATGAAGACTATTCCTAAATATGAGCCAATGTTGAACAGTGTTGAATGGCATTTCTAGTTTTCCACTTTGAAAAAATTAGCTAGCAGATCTTATGTATGCATCATACAGATGATTTATTATATAGCTGACTTACTATGAACATAGTAAATCTATGAGCCTTTTTTTGGCCTTTCTACTGCAGTATTGTCCATCATGAAGAGGCCATAGTTCCCACTCTTTAAAGAGTCATGTAGTGTGATTCCCTTTGATGACGATCTGATTTCTCTTAGTTCCGATCTTCTGAGCCCAGCTGCTCCATTTTTAATTTGGCTGGTAGACAGGGATACCCCTGTCTGCCAGAAAAATCAAGATGTGTGAAAAAGAGCTCAGCATGCATATATGAAGTGATAAACTCCATCGATTGATTCGATGCTTTGCAGTAGTGTTTTTAGATGTCCAACATTTGGATTTATCCTTTTGCACTCTGCACCCACCCATTCACAATTTGAGTGAATTCACAATGGATGATACCTTAGTTAAATTACGAGCACCTGTGATTCCAGCGCTCCCCAGCCTATATCTTGATGTGATGAACTCTTCTCCCTCCCTGCATTATTCATACATATACTGGAAGCTCTCTTGCTTATCCCAGTTAGCTTTAGAAGTTGGATCAAAGTGGTTTGGTCAAGGGATATGTGAGTACCATGTGATAAGTTATTTATTACCCTTTGTGGTACGCGAATTCACCAATTCATACCTGAATATTTCTATCACGAGTTCCCCCCCCCCCCCTCCCCCAAAAAAATATATACCGACCTTTGGTATAGAGCAGCCTGTGCTTTCATTTCCACTTGTCACACTCGACACTTTTATGTACCATTTAAAGTGCAACTGACTAGGAAAGGAAACACCAGACCTGAATAAAGCAGTCTCGAAGGTTGTCTGCCTTCGTTGCTTGGGTTTTGGTAATTCTCAGAAGTTCTCTTAACTGAAGTTTATATTCCATCAAATTCGTTAGCGTTTGCGAATGATTTCGTAATATATTTTCTCCCTCCATACTGAATTTAGTTTCTTGAGAGAGATTCCCAATTTCTGCCATCATGTCGCGCATTTCAGAGACGGGCTGTAATAGAATGCAAAATTGAGTTAAGGTTGTTCGATTGCGTGTTTCAAGGCATCCATTGCTGAGAAGTGAGGCGCTATTGAACCTGCTTTTGAGTCCAAATTGATTTGTGAGAATTTTCTCCCTGTAACAAGTCAAGGACAAGATAGTCTTGACTGTCACGAAGCGCAATTGTAATGACCATAGCACATTCGTGGTTCCCAGAAATTTTGAAAAAAAAAAAAAGTCTGGAGGTAAAACCAGTGACGTGGCCAGGATTTCGCCCAAGGCGAGGGGACTAGAACCAAACCCTCGCGTTGCCATTGTTTATAACGGGTCAGGAAGCCCTCTTCGAAATCCTAATTTTGGCGCTAGTAGCGCTTTTCCTCGAAGACCCGGAAAAATCGGGGAAATGGATTCTCGAATCTGTATGGTAATCTCACTTTCGCAGTCCACGGAAGAGGCGTCTGTGTCCATTCCTTCCTAGGCAAGTGTGAAAACACTTCTAAGGGAGGACAGGGACTCAACATTACTACCATGCCACACCTCCATTCGGCTCCCACTAGATGTCTCTGCGGGAATAGTGGTAGCTTTTGGATGGGATGATTGATTGATTGGAAATGAATTGAGAGCCAATGCAGTTCAACCTCTCTCTCTCGAGTCCCTTCTTCCGAATCGACTACTCACGCTACGAGATTCTCGAGGGGGTGGAGCTTCAGGTGAGAACAGAAAGCCGAATCACTTGGGCTCATTGCGCTGAGTACCTGTAGCTAACGCCTGACATCGGTTAAGGCGTTTACGGTTTAAGCCGTAATCGTCCCTTCTACTAGAAAGGAATTTATGGAGGCGCAGTTTTTTTTAACCCTGGATTGGGACATCCGGCACCGATCAATCGAAGAAATGCCAGCTCGAGAGATGAGCGCAGCTCGAGTACCATTTGATCGAGACGGGTGTTGGTTTGCATGGTTTTTTCCTCTCGTTTCGTCTCAGAGTGAGTGAAAACGAGAAGATAATCATAATACCTTGTTTGGACTCTCGCAGTTCGCCTCCAACGCGAAAATGTTGATACAATCAAATCTCTCGAGATTTCACCCGAGGCAGACAGGAAATCAAAGTGGCATAGAGCGAGATCCCAACGGAATCGGAAATTCCATGCAACCGCTTTTTCTAGAAGACGCGGTGGCTCCCTCCAACGCACCTTCCACGAACATCCATTGTTGAAGGAAAAGCCTGCTTTCAGTCCACCGTTCCTCACGAATTTCTTCTTCTCTCGGTCGAGGTCGTCGATTTCTGGACGGGGTTGAGGCGACTTCCAACGCATTCATCTTGGGAAAGGGGTAAGAATTTGAGGTACGCATGATTTGTTTCGTGTGTCACTTTAGCGGAAATAATCGTGATCTTGAAACCAGAATCTACTTACTCGCTGTGACTTTTGTTTCTCGACGAAAGCAGCAATGAAGGATTGAACATATCTCACTTTTGGCACCCTGACTTTAATTACATAATTATCGAGGGAACGCTCCTACCCAGTCAAACATTTTTCATCGGGCCACCGATGGCTTTTCGTCGACGCGTATATAAGCCCTTGTCGGGCCATCCCTGGCATGTGATTGGTTTAAGCCGGCTTATGGTCGGGCATGTCCTGTTGGCCCTTCATCGGGCCAACTTTGGCTCATTGTTGGGAAACTGCACATGCCCCAACAAGACGACTTTTCCCAATGGTGAAAATGGGGGGGGGGGGAGGAAACCGCACTTACTGCTCTATCAGCTATATGTAAATTTCAGGGATAAGAACGCATAATTTTGCCCCTGTATAAGTGAACTGCTCCTCCATATATCCTAAATGAAGGAGCTGAGAATATCCCGAGCAGCATCCCTTCCAGATGCTAAGCCGTGTAGGATAGGAATTGCCTGAAAGTGCAAGGATACCTCTCCTCCCACAGTAGGCAAGGCACACCTTACTCCTTTAAAACATTTTTCTGAAGATGTAACCTAGTCCTGGAATAAACCAGGGAATCCCGGCCCGGAGGTCCGTGGGAGGATCCTACTTTCCATGATAATCTACGCGACCCTCCCCTATTACGTTATTGAGAAGTATCATTATAATTCAATTGTCTTCCTCTGAGGTCTATGTGAGAAACCATTGGGAACTGTGTCAAAGGGAAAGGGGATTCATTTCAGCAGAATCCGGGAAGTGACTCCCTACTGCGACCACTTTGGCTCCATCTCACGCCGGTTTTCGGAACCTTCTGTCACATTGGCTCATCATCTTCTGCAGAAGTTGGCTCCAACGATAAACCAACTTCCCCATCTATGGCCCGACGATAAACCACAGAAAATGTTTGACTGGGTTTCAACTATCTCCCATCCACCTCCATCTCCAGTCCCAATTGCGTCATCTTAATGTTCACATTCCGAGGGACCAGGGAAGGCAGAGGCGGAGTTCCCTGATGCTGGTATGCAGTCGGAGTGCATCGGAGACGGCGGACGGGCTCGGAGGCGGCGTCGTCGCTGCAGCCCTTCCGGTCGGGCATTTCCATTCCAGATGGGTCACGTGCATCGACAGATAAATTTCGTGTTCTAGTTGTGCGATTTAGAAACGAGTTCTCGTGAGAATGCATTTAATTGGGGGTAATTTCGTTCCTGTAGAGTCTCATTATGGATGTAACTTGTAAAGCTTCTGTTTGATCTGTAAAATTAATTAGTAATGAACGGTGGGGGTGGTGCACGTCACCCTCTGACTTGATCTCGACTCCCTTTGAGCTGAATGTCTGCTGGGGTCTTCCAGGGACGAAGAGTTACGACTGGAACTCAGACGAAACTGACAAAGTGCGCCGCATTTCCATCACAGACGAGGACAGGCGAGGAAGACGACAAGGTCAATCCGCTGAAAACAAAGGTCAAAGTCAAGGGCAAGGGCAAGGCGCCTCCCAGGAGGGGCTGACACCCCTGTTTGGCTCCTGTTGTACCTACCGGACCGTGAGAACGGGCTGTGTTCTCATCTCTTTCTTCACCATGCTCCTCGGAGCAGCAGCAGTTGGCTTCGCCTCTGTCGTAGCCCTTCAGGTACTATTTTATTATTTTTTTTAATAAACCCTGATAAATTTGCCAAAGAAAAAACGGGGAATTTCATGGGATTTCAAAGAAGCGAAATTATTAAGAAAGAATAAAAAATTGAGTTAATGGCATCGATAGGGTTCGTGAGTTAGAGTTAGATAGAGTTTGACCTTAAGGCGGAGAACCCATGGCGCCTGGAACTGCTGTTCCCTGTCGGATTCGAACTAGCTGGGATCCTGACCTCGTTCATGCTCTTTTACGCGTCCGTGGAACGACACTCAAACCGGCGATGGGTCTTCCCGTGGATCACGGTCGCGTTCCTCCGAATCGCAATCGGATTGTGCCTCGTCCCGATCGACTCAACCCGGCCGATCGCCCTCCGGATCGCGATGGGGAAGCTGGCCGTGTGGGGCTTCCTCGCCTTCTGCATGGCCGTCGTCTGGTCATTCTGTACCAAGGATCCCAGCACGAAAGTGGTTTCCTTTCCCTTGCTTCCTCGCACCCCATTCTTCGACTGAGGCAAACCCATGAACCATCCTCTTTTCTCAACTCTTTTCTGTCTCACTTATATTTCTTTGCATTGAGATTCTTTTTTTTTTCTTTATGCGATGTTCCAGGAATGCGTAAACGTTTCTTTGCAACTCCTTAACCTTTAAAGAAATAATTTAAAAAAACTTTCATAGGCTCTGATATCATCTCTGATTCCCCCGTGAGGGCTCTCGTCCAGGAAACCACTGTCGCCGAGAGCAAAGTTCAAGGTTCCAGCTACGTACGACCAATATTTTCTATAGTGGATACCATGACTGCCTCATGCAAATGTCTTCTACTTTCGTCAGAAACGTAATTGGCTGCTGTAAGCCACATCCGCAGGATCTCACTGGAAAAAGCAACATTTCGGCTGCATCCGAAATAGTGGTTCATTAATCAATTCCCATGAAGGGGCGTCGTCCCTGGGCTTGCACACGGCACTTTCCTTGCATATTGCATGATTTTCGGCATCCCTGCGAATCAACTATCCCTCCCTTTCCTATCTACTGACGAACACGTGGTGGTGGCCCTGGTGTCTCCTTCCGTTCTGCACGTTGACGATTTCAACCTGTCTCCTCCTATTTCATTAGTTATAGTATGAGTTTTATTTTTTGTTGTCGGTTATTATCCTTTCGTCACAATAGTAGGCATATTCCTCTAGTTATTGCAGGAGCTGTGCGAGGTGGACCCGAGGGCTCAATGCTGATGGGGACTCTCATGGAACGTAATTGTGACGATGTGCTCAGAGTCATTTATGTGATCTGATAGGCGTTGGCCTGAACTACCATTTGTTAGGCTACATAGGAGCTAGCCCTTATCTCTGAGGCTTTGAAACTGACCCTTGAAACCCTTTCTTGTTTAAGGGATAGACCCATAGCGTTCGAGCTGTCGCATTGCAGTGCCATCAGAGAAAATGCCTCAAGGTTCTATGAAAGTGAAAAACAAGGAAAAAATTCCAGTTCTCAAGAAGTCCAAGCAAATCCAGAAGAAAAAGAAGACTCCCAAGTCGCTTCCCCTTCCGTCGAAGAAACAGAAACAGTCAGAAGCCGCTAAGGTTCAGAAAGATCTACAAAAGGCAATCAACAAGAAAATTGAAGAGGAAACTAAGTCCATAGCAGCCTTGGAAGGGAAATCTTTCAATATCCTCAGTTCTGACAAAGCTAAGAAGTGAAAGTGGACACAGATCCTAAGTACATGGCTTCTAGGTGAGCCTGGGCCTAGCCCACCTTCAATTTTTTATCCTCATCTGAAATGGTAATCTGTATTTTTTATATGAAATTGACGATTGTAGCTTGAGTCATATGTTGTGAAAAGTTGAAGTTTCATTGCAGTCTGTGGGAGTAAAATCTCATCGTATTTAATAGGCTGAATCCTGTCTGTTCGATTGCCCTTAATGGATGAGGCATGTGGTTTAGTCACTTCCAGGTTTTAGGATATCTGGCCTGTTAAGTATTTACAAATGATAACTTGCATTAGTTGTCCAGGTTGCATAACAGGTTTGTCACCCATGTGATTTCAACATAATTTTGTACAGAGCAATTGGAAGATATTGTCAACATGAAGTATAAAAATTTGAGTAAAAGAAATGACATTATTATTTTTTAGATATTTTTGGTCATTTTTGCATTCCCAGCTGATTCCCAGTTGTGTAATTAAGAGTATTTAGTGTACAGGGTGGCCACAGTCCAGTTTGCATGAAATATTAATGTTCTCCTTTTACTGTATTTCCTGGGAGTATTTCAACATGGCAGGCATTAATGAGTTTATGAGAGAGAAAAGACTAGTTGTAAGTGTGTGGGTCCACAATCATGAGCAACACACATAGCTGTTTGAATGTTCCCTATTTTCCCTTCAGACAAATCCATTTTTCATAGCTTGCAAATCAATCATGGTAGTACATCATGGTGGTAGTAATCATGGTGGTACATTTATTTCATCCTTGGCCAGGAAACTGAAAGAAACCAAAATAAAACTTCATTTTACTTTCTGCTGTCCTATAAATGGCACATTTTGAAGAGCAGGACATTTTATGCCTCAACTGGTGCAGAGGGATCATTAAGACCAAGTCATCATTCAGAGCTGCCTAGTTTGTAAACAGGAGGTAGAATGTAACATTTTCTAAAGGTAGGACACATGATGGGGTGCATGATGAGATGAAAAGACATTGCATTGTGAGTTGAGGTGTGATTTATAGGTTATGGGGCCTCTAGAAGATGGGTCCATTCTGCAGTTACCCTTTTGTACTCTACCTATTCAGAGTGCAGTTAAGTAGGTTTTAATTCATTTTTCTATAACTTGTCCATTGATGAAGGTTTTCAGTCTTGGGACAAATTTTATATTTCAGTCTTTGAGGTTGATCAACAAGCAAACTAATTGGCTTAGCCTATATGTCTTCAGCACTTCCTTGCATATCTTTCATCAAAAAGTGTTTTTTAAAAATGTATATAAAAAAAAGCTTATGTTGAAGAAGTTTTGCAAAACTTTTCTGGTGTATTTCTTGTGCTTTGCAGGAAAAGTCAATTTCGTGTTCTGGTGCTGTGTTGTGGGGTTTCATTTTTTTCTGGTGCTCTTTTTACTGCCATGGTCTTTCAGTGGCCCTCATGTTCTGAAAAGACTCCCCCTCTTCACCCAAATCTGAGTACCTCCCAATACCAGGAGAAATTTTTGCTTACTGCTGTCATCATATCAGCTCCAGGAAACTTTCAGCATCGTGAAGTCATTCGTCAGACTTGGCTTCAGGCCTGTCCTGTAGATTTCAAACATTTATTTGTAGTAGGGTCAGAGGGCTTGGACTCAAGAACAATGGGTCTCATCAGTGAAGAAATGAAAAAACATGAAGATCTCCTCCTCTTGCCAATCCATGACTCATATCAAAACCTCACAAGCAAAGTCCTTCAGGCCATTACATCTGTGCTGGGGTTACTGCAAACAGACTACATACTGAAATGTGATGATGATTCCTTTGTTCAGGTTGTGTCTCTCATGGAGCATCTTCGACAAGCTGAGACTCCTCGGACAAAGTTTTATTGGGGCTTTTTCTCAGGGAATGCTAAAGTGTATCGGACTGGACGGTGGAAAGAAGAGCAGTGGAATCATTGCAATTCCTATCTTCCTTATGCCAGAGGAGGTGGATATGTGATATCACACGACCTGGGTGAGTTCCTGGCACGTAATAAGGAGGATCTGGCTCAATTTAGCAGTGAAGATGTGTCAGTTGGTGCATGGTTGGCATTTGTGAAAGGCCTTCAACGTGTCCATGATAGGCGGTTTGACACAGAGTATAAATCTCGAGGTTGCTGGAATCTGTATTTGGTGACTCACAAGCAAACAACTGAGTCTATGGTCACCCTGTGGCAGAATCTACAGACCCAAGGAAAGTTGTGTACCCAGGAGAGTAGCATAATGTTCTCTTATGAGTATAATTGGAATGTTCAGCCCTCTCATTGCTGTGTTCGTAATGTCTCTGACATCAGCAGTTCTACATTGAGTTGATTTAGCATTGCTGCATTTTTTAAATCAAGCTCTCATCTGCCTATTGAATAACATGTCAATATTTTCCAAAGTGAGTCATTTTTATTTGAGATAAGATTATTTAAGGGATGCACATACAGAAACTTGAAATAAGACTCTGAAGCAAAGCAGCAAACAAAACACATATGGCTGCTCTCCTTGAGGAAGAGCCATCAATGCATCACTTTAAAAAATGCATTAGCATCATTTCTTTTTCCGATCTGGGGAACATCTTGGACAATACCATTTTCCCTTTGGTTTTGTTGTGAGTTCCACACAACCAAAGTGAAACCATTCAATGGGGCACTGTGAAGAGAAACAAGAGTTTCATGAAGATTTTGCTATTCATAATCAAGTTTTTAGTATTCAGAGGTGATAGAAACTTACATCAGGATTATCGCAGCCAATCATTTCTCCATAGGAGACTTGTTGACAGATGCAATAGGTAGGCTCATTTGGATCAACAGGCATGTCCAGGACATCAGATGCATGTCCCGTGGAGAGAGGGAAAACTGATGTGATGGCCAACTCCTGAGATGGCATTACAGCTGTTGTACCAGTTCCTTTCTTGCTCTTCTTCCTCCCCTTTCCCAAGTCCTCATCAGAGGAAAGAAGACGTCCCTTCTTCTTTTCTTGAGCCTTACCCTTCTTACGACCCCCTTCTGGAAAACAGGAGTACATGCATATGTAGTACATACAGTCACCTAAAAGCTATTATGATACTTTTTGTGGTAATACTTTTGCCTGTAGTTGTTCCTTCAACTTCAGCCACTTTTGCATTCACTCTTGCCTTTTCCTTGATTTCAGCCTCGAAACGGGCCAAGTCTGAGTCCAGACGTCTGATGTGTTTGTCAACCTGTCATTGGCATGAAATCATTAATCAAAAAGTAAAAAGTCTTCACAATGCAATGCAGGTCACAAAACAATCTATAATCAGTATTGAGGCATCTAAAACTCACCAGTTCATAAGTTTGAACTGACAATTGTACTTTGTCATCTGCATATTCTTTGGCTTTGTCCCAGAGCTTCTGGATTTTACTCAACTGCTCCTTGCGCTTCTCTGAGGGCATGTCTCTCACCTTACTCAGGTATTCATTAGATGCCTTGTCAATTTCCTTTACCACATCTTGAGATCTTGCATCCAGATCATGCATGAGGGTGAAATTCCTCTGTAGCTCTATAGGAAGATTTTCAAGGCCTGAAAAGAGCAAAAAGTGAAAAGCATATCACATTGATCTTGAATATTATTCAAGCAGCATTTGTCCAAACAGGCTGGCCATTCAGAGGCTCAAATCGCTATGTACAATCTGAGTGAATACAATGGAGCTTGTCAAGCAAGAGACAAGTCATTGGCCAAAAGACTAATTAAACCAATAAAATTGAAACAATTAAATGTTTCCATTTTACTGGTCAACTCCTGTAAACAAATGAAGGATGTATGTGGTAGTAAAAAATGCAAACTGTACTTTATTGTTATGCAGTTTCTATAGCTCTTTGGAATAATAATTAAAAAATTAAAGAAGGCATTCACAATGAATATAGGCTATTCATTGCATGCTCCAATCATGCATCCATTTCATATTCAAATATGATGGGCATATAGATACATATTCACTTTTTTTTTTAACTTTGGGGTCTAAATTCTGTATGGAAAATTAAGATGCCTTCTTTTTTTGCAATGCAAAGTTTCTTCTCCTTGAACACCTTTCCTTGAATTAAGGCAGAAATTAGGCTTTTACATTGTTTTTTTCACTTGAGTTAGACATTTTTTCACTTGACTTCGACAACGGTGCATGGTGAGGGTGATATAGCGGATCGACGCAGAAACTAGGAGTTCCATTCTTAAGTGCAGATGTGATGACATTGGCGACAACGATGATGATTAATTTCCTGCTGAAGAGAGGAAAATAAATATGAACCTTCCCAG